GCAATTTGATTTTGGGCAAGGTGTTCCTGCAGTTTTGAGAGGTTGGATAACAGAGAAATAGAACGGAAGTCATGACATGAGGAAGGGTTTGAATTTTTATTCTAAGGTCAGACTAGGGTAGTTTTCCAAGATGATGTGAATATGAAGCATTGCAATGCAGATGATATATTCCAAACTAGCTCTACCCGGCCACGCGCTGCTGTGGCTTAGCCTGGCAAAATGAAAAAGAAAGAAAAAAGAAAGCACATATGAGTAGATTAGTAGCAAAGGACACTAAAAAGTTGGAAAACAAATTTCTCTTTAAAATGGCTTCAATTTAAACTAATTCTAATGTTTTTTTTCTCATGATTCAAATTGAACATTCATAATCATCTGAGTGAATACGCCGTCATTCATAATCATCAGAAACAGTCTGAGTTGAACTTATAAAACTAAAATAAAAAATTAATATAAAGAACGTATAATAGTATTGACCTACATAAGGGGAATTATATAAATTCTTCAAATGATAATTCCAATTACTGTAGTAATTATAAAATTTTCGATTAATCAATAAAAAAAAAATAATAAAAAAAAAATGCTTGCCGACGTTCGGTAGTGAGGAAGCAAAAGGAAACGGTCTTTTCTGTAGAGAAAGCAGTAATTGTTTAAAACTCAATAACTCTGCAACGAACCGTCCGATTTCGATGATTTTTTTTTTTTATTTTGTCAGCAACTCAGAAATCTTTCATATAAATATGGGTGTTATCCGTCAAAAAGTGTGTACTTTTTTAGTTATCGTCAAATAAAATATTGAATTCATCATTTCAGATTGTTTTCGGGAAAGTATGTTATACATATAAATTAAAAGGGTTTCAAGGGGAAGACTTTAGCCAAGTTTCGTTAAAATCAGTAAAGCCGTTTTGGCGCTACAGTTTATAGCGACACATTTTTTTGTGGCTTTGAACAGAAAAACATTTACATTCTTATTTATTTTACATATATAAAATTATCATAAGACAGAAGTACTATGCCAGAAACCTTCCCAGTAGTGTACGGAACAACTTCCCAAAGTTTCATGGCGATGGGTTGAATGGTTTAGTAATGCACTAAGGACAGACAGATATACATTAATTTTTATATACATAGATTATTCTAAATAAATTTCCTAATGAGATTAAATAACAAGAAAAAATAAATATGATATAAAAATAAGTGAAATAAATGAGAAATTTAAAGAAAAAGGCAACTTATCAAATAAAATAACATCTCATTTGTGCCAAATTTGAGAAGAACATAAAAATAGTAAAAATGTCTTTGGTAAGAACAAAGAAATTGTTTGTTAAGTTACTATCAATCTTCATATATTATTTCTAAAAGGTTTTTTTTTTGTCGGTACGCCATATCTTCATCAAATCCAATGATCGACCCCTCATTTTGAAGATCTCCTTCATGTGTGAAAAATAGTCAAGTCCCCCCAAAATTTCTGGAAAAAAATTCATGAAGGAAAAGAAACTTTATTTGCGAATAACTCAAAAATTATTTTAAAAATTTCTGAATTTTATCCATGATTATTAGAAAAAGTACTGAATTCCTTACAAAACAAAACAAAAAATCGGATCATTATTAACAAAGATACGGTCCATTAGATTCAGTATACTCAATAATTTCTTCATCTTGAAAGGTGCTGCATTTACTTTTCTACTAACCTTTTTTTCCTGGCTGAACTATACTTTATTATTTCTTAAAGGCATTTTTTGTTTGTATATTTTTATATCTTTTTAATAATTTAGAAAATCCTATGATCGAGGATTTATTTTTATATATATTTAGGTCTATTATGTTAATTGGAATAATGTAATTGACCAAAGAAAACACAATTAATTCCTCCCTCACATAAACATCAGTTCTATATTGATTTTTTCTAAACCTAACTTAAGACTACTTTATACCTATATTATACTTATATATATACTTTATACCATCGCTGATGAGTCAGCAGGAATGTAAGAATATTAAATTTTATACATGTTAAGTATTGTACGGAACTATAAAACTTTCTCATTTTTCATAATGTGGGATTAATGGTTGATTAGTGAATAATGAAGAGAAGGATGTTTGGGGTGATCAGCCAAAATAAAAATGGCAAGAATAAATAATAATATTTATTTTAACATTTGCTGACGTTTCAACCCAAATTTCAGCCCTGATGAAGGCCTGAACTTCGGGTCAAATTGTCGGCAGATGTTTAAATAAATATTATTATTTATTTTTGTCATTTTTATTTTGACTGATCACCCGAACCATCCTTCTCTCCATTTATCATTTTTCCATTAATCAACAACAAAATAATACGATAATAAGTATATTTCAGAAATACATATATATTAATATATTAATCAATAGATTAATCAGGGAGGAAGTGTTATCATAATTTAAACTTGAAGGGGCTTTTGTTCAAGTTAAAATAGATTAGATTTCTAAATGTAATTAACCATTTTGGATTCTTATTGTATGTTTCTTTCACATTAATTAGGCTGTCAAAATATTAGAAAACTTTTGGTGGTTAATAGAACTACAATTAGTTTTACCTGTTAAGTTTGGAGTTATTCAGCCACTGTTCTTAATGATTACTATTGTATTATCTTCAATTGTTTCTTTGGTACAATTAATAATTCAGCCATTTAGAATTGCTCTGTATATTTATAACAAATTATAAGTTGTTATATTACTCAATTATTATTTTAGTAAGTCTTTTTGTGAATGAGTTATTATAGAATCTTTCTATTGTTCAGCCATTATTTTATGTTCTCATTTTGCTTTAACTCATTGACAATGAGTTATATTTTTACCCGACTAAGCGAAGCGAAATGAGGGTTATGTGTTTGGGTCATCCCCTAAAAGCTATGTAACATTTTTTTGAGCGAACCGCTGGATCGTTTTTTAAAGTGGATGGCTCAAATCAAGTAATTATGTGGCGAGATCTCATGAGTGTTTTGAAACAATTTGATCTAAAAATACTGACCCATTAATAAATAAAATTTATTTTATCAATTTGCAAATTTCTTTGTAACTCTGTTTTGAGCAAGCAGCATGATCAGTTTTTAATATTGATTGCTCGAAAATTCGGTGAGATTCCCAAAGTGTTTTGAAACAATTTGAGCTAAAAATACTGATCCGTTATGAAATAAGATGTGTTTTATGACTGCAAAAATCTTTGTAATGCTGTTATGAGTGAACACAGCTGGATCAATTTTTAAGTTTGATATAGTATATTATTCAACCAGGTCCCATGAGTATTTAGAAAGTGAAACAAAATGTGTTCAGTGTCTCCACTAAAAAGTATGTAGCAAAACGCTGTTTTGAGCAAACGGCTGGATCGATTTTTAAGTTAGATGGCTCAAATTATTCAGTGCGAATCCGTGAGTGTTTTGAAATTATTCAGCTCAAAATTCTGTCAAATTACTGTTTAAAGTGTGTTTAATCAATCTGCTAAAATGTGCATAAAGATTTTTTGAGCAGATGACATGATCGATTTGTAACTTTGGCGGCTATAATTACTCAGTCTATCAACTTCAAGGCTCTATATGATGTTGACATGCATCGATACATGGGACGAAATATATTTGCTTAGAGCATTAATGTATAGTAAAACTAATCCGACCACTACCCCAAGTTTAAATATTCGTAGATGTCAAGTTCTCTATCAATCTACTAAGATTTTTCATTAGATATGGTAGTACATTCTCTCAGGATGGATAAAATTTCCCAATGTCTGTCGTCGGTTTTTTTTTAAATTAAAATATTTTTTATTAATCCTGTTTGTGGATTGTATTTTAGATAAGTGCTGCTTTGTTTATAATTTTCTAATGTCTCTTTAAAAACATTATTGAAAAATAAAAAAATTATAATTATATGTATTATTGCAAAATGTTTATTCATAAGATATAAAAAATGATTAATATATGTCTTTGATATTCATATATCTTTTTCTTTCATTTACAGTTATATCATTGTTTTCTTTTTCCTGAAAGAAACTATTTTTATTTATTTATAGAACTAAAAACTGAGCTTCAATGCATCGACCATTTTTTCATGACAACTTTTCGTGGTTACACTATCTTGATTTTGTTCATTTTATGTTTGATAGTGAACAAGAAGTTTGGTGGGTCATTGCCTTTTTAGCCTGCATTCTGGATTGACAGGTAATCAGAATGATGAAAATGATTATATTATTGGATTCAAGTGATTTGAAATGGAAAGTTAAAATGTGATCTAACTGTTATGTATGTAATATTTGATTTGTTGTTATGTATGGTATGATTTGAAGTTAACCAATGTTCATTTAAATGTTTTTATGAGTACCTATTTTGCAAGTTAATATACTGTGTGCGTGCACGTGTTTTGATGAACCTTGACGTTCTTCAACTGAGAAGAACATGTTGCGATAGTAGTAAGATTGCATAGGTAGAAGGCTGGTAGTGAATTTCCATAGAAGGATCTTGTGATTATTGCCATGTGCACTAAGTATAAAAGAAATATTACCAAGCATCTTTTATCTGATGAAAATGTTGAATTGTGGAATGGTAAGTCACTTATTTAAAAAAAAAATTCCTAGCTTTTTAAAGATAAAATATGCAAACATGTTGCATTAGCCCATTTTCATCCTCTTAAATAAAACTGAAGTCTCCGTTCAGTATTAATGTTACCACTTGCTTGGAATGTCGCAACTGTCAAATTATTTAAAAATGTTATTTAATAATATGAATGGACAAAAAATTTGTATTGCTTGAAGGTGCTTGAAATTGGTGAAACATTCAGAAGCATGTAATGAAATTGGGACTTTTGATTTGAAATATTTCAAAGTAAAATTATTAAATAATGTAGAACTAACTATGTAGATTTACAAAAACTGGTGAAAATGGAATATAAAAAATTATGTCATTGTAATTACAATGATTTATAATTAATTATCTTTGTATGTTACTCCAAATATTATATTATGATTTCTTTCATTGCAGGCTACAACTTTACTTATTTTATAATATTGTGACGAGGCACCTTATAAATGGATTCCAGGCAGTTCTATCTCCTCCATCAAAAGTTCCTTGCCTGATGTTCATATCAAAGGATGACCCTATCTCTCCTTATGACCGAAATATGGTCATTGTTGATGCCTGGAAGTCGAATGGGATACAGGTTAGCAGACATGAGCCAAACAAATTACCTAATCTGGATTAACTCCAACATAATATTTACACTTTATATATAGTAGATTCATAACATAGATGCTTTTGAAACATAAGTAGAAAAATTATAGCTACATCACGTTTCTTAATTTTTAAATGATTTGTTTGATAATTGTATATGTTCTAGGCGCAGATAAAATGTTGGGATAAATCTCAGCATGTCGGTCATTTTGTTCATCATCGAAATGAATATCTGGACCAATTGAACATGATGTTGGATTCAATCGGTCTCAGCAACTTGACAGAAAGTGAGAAAAAAACGGAAACAGAGCTGAATAAAAGCAATATATGGTAAAGATTAATACTTTAAATTCAAGTTATATTGGGTTGATCATCAGAAATTATATTTATAATTGGTAAATGGTTGACTGTCGTGGATAATGAAGAGAAGAATAGTTGGGGTGGTCAGTCAAAAAAGAAGGCAAAAATAAATGATAATATTTATTTTTACATATGCCGACGTTTCGACCTGAAGTTCAGGCCTTCATCAGGGCTAAGAAAATCTAACTACTCCATTCTCAATGTCTTAATTTTACTATTTATTTTCATTTCTTATATAACTTCATATTTCTTTTTTATGTTTTACATTTTATTTTAAGATTCCCATTTTAACACTTATGTCACCCTTTTTGATTATGCTTACTTCATCATTCCACACTTGATAACGGTTATTATTATTTATCTCTTAGTTCTTACTATTGTCATTATTATAACAATTTCATTTTACTTTATTTTTTGATTTTTTTACCATCACTACTTATGTTTCTCATACCTTGTTATCTGGTTATTTTCTTGGCCCTGATGAAGGCCTGAACTTCAGGTCGGCCTATGTAAAAATAAATATTATCATTTATTTTTTCCTTCTTTTTTGACTGACCGCCCCAACTATTCTTCTCTTCAGAAATTATATTTCTAATATTTAACAAAAACTTCTTTTATTTATAATTTTTTTTCTTTGTTTTAACTAATAATACTTATCATTTAATTGTCATGCACAATTGATTTAAAAAATTTCATCCTCAAAAGTGATTGATTTCTTATCACAAAAATTACTTAGTGCCATGTTTGAACAACTGCAACAATCAATTTCGATGAAACTAGTATTCTTTCTACTAAATTAAAATAAATTAGGGATGATCCATTCTTATTTTAGTAAGCTTCATCATTACCTTAGAACTACCTCTACAATTTTTATGAAACATTAATTAATAACAACTTAATTTGTGACAACTTAGGCATCTAAAAATTCCTTAAGGTACTCTTGAGAACCGTCTTTAGTATAACTGTTGAACAATTGATATATGTAATATCAAACCAAAATTAACTATTTAAAAGAATAAAAATTTGTAGCTAAACATATTTTGAATTACACATGTTCTTCTGAATCAGTTTCAATTGCTGTGATAATTTGTTTACCTTTCTCCAAAAAAAAATCATTTAGGCTTTTATGATTTCTAGGGTTAATTTATTGAAAAATATACCAAGAAAACTGTGAATATTCTGTTAAAATTGAAGAGAAAGTACCTCCTAAATGCATTTAAAAAAAATGAAAGTTGAAACCTATAATTTATTACTATAGTTATTGAAACATTTTTTTGTATAAATTTTGTTTTGATGATTCAATTGATTATTTCAGATAAGGATTAAGTTGTCTCTTCAAGAAATCATCTTAAGAAAACAATACCTTCTGATATAGCATGATTAAAAGAGTGCAATAGATAATTTAATTTTTTTAAAGTCTTCGTTTTTAGTTTGAAGTGTTAAGTACAGTGTAAAACTTAACTTTTAATTTATAATAAACACATATTTATTTTGTGTTAGTTATTATTGTCTTCCTCCTTCTTTTTATGTGTACTTATTTCCTTTTTCATCATACTGAATGCATCATAATTATAGTAATATAGCATGTCTAAAAAATACTCAACTTCTAAGTACCTGAAATTAAGGGAATTCCAACTTTTTATGGGGAACTCATGTTACATCAGACTTTCCTTATCTATATTCTTGTATCCATGAGAAATAGACACACTTTAACTTTAGATTCAATATTTTTGTGAAAAAGACAAGGTCTGTATTTTGTCTACCTGTGAAGTACAAATGTACTAATATATATATACATATTGATTGATTGTTCAAGAGGCAGAAAGTTAATTAATTGTAAATAAAGACAGGTTTAACAACACAAGGTTGGTGAATAATGGTAATATACTTGGGAGTAAACCAAGATTTTTACCCTTAAATTAAAAAAAATATTTTTAACTTAACTAGTAATCTTTTTCTCTGAAATGAATGTCAAAATTGTTTACCATTTGAATCAATCTCTGAAAACAATTCGAAGATTCAGAGGTCTCGGATCAAGACTACTTTTCATAGTTCAATCATCTTTCCTCAATATTTAATGTATTGTTCAGGTTAAGCAGGAACTGATTGATTAAAAAATATATAAATCAAAACTAAAATGTACACTTGAAATTTTTCATGATTTTTGAAAAAGTCGGCATATAGTTCTCAGAGGAATAAAGAGTTGGTGGGAATTATTTGATTAAAATAAGGACTAGTATAAAAGAGCAAATGACTCAAAAAGAGACATAAGGTATTTAAGACAAATGAAAATTTCATTTCATGATTTTTTCTACAAACTACCATGAAGATTTTGATTAATATTTATATCATTTATCTATTTCTTAGTAAAATTAAATTATTTTGTAAGTAAAATTTATTTTCATCTATAAAAAATTACTAAATTTAAAATATACATTATTTACATTTAAAAAATACATTTTTTATTCAAAATCGTAAAATTTATTCAAACCATGAATACATAAGTTTTCCTGATCAGGAGGATTTAGGGACGTGGGGTCACCGATTTAAATGAAACTTTTTTTAGTAATACAAAATAGATAAATGTTAGACCTATATTGGAGGGCTCTTAGGAACTCAATCCAGGAGCCGAGAAAAAAGAAAACAAAACATTTATTATTTATTTTATACTCTTTTCTGACTACTCTGCATGGATTTTTAAGTTATTTTATAGCAATTAATTTGTTTTTTTGATTAAGAAACATGTATTGCTAATTTTATTAAACTAATTCTAGAGTACAATGAATTTAAAAAACCTAAAGATGCTTCCAGTAAAGTATGATGATTCAGATTAGTTTATAGTATCCATTAAAATAAGAATTTGTTTTGAAATAAAAAATTCAAATTTTTGTTTTTAATGTTATGGAAAGATATTTTTTTTACATGCCGTTTACTAAAATCAGTGCCGGCCCTAGACATTCGTCCAGACGTCATCCCTTACCCCAAAAAAATTATATTTATTTCTTAAGCTGTTTTATTTAATTTCATTAAATATTTCTCTAATACAGTTGCTATATTGATAGGCTAAAATTAATTATTTGAATTCGGTTTGTATTTTGTTTTAATTTCTATCAAGTGGTGAACTTCAATTTTAGACCGAAGCACCCCTGAAGATCGTCGGACGCCTCCAACTGACGCTGAGCCTATATCAGCATAACTACAACCATTGCAAAGCTACATTATTGTTCTTAAAAACCATATCAATAACTTTCAAAGTTTACTAATTTATCAAGATTAGATATCGAAAAACTCCCTAAAGGTTTTTATTTTTTATCTCTAAGCCTTATTTATTTTTGGTCGTCTGGTTTGTGCCATTTCATATATTTTACAGTTTTTCGTGACGAAAATTTAATTTTCCTACTTTATTGGAAGCAACTTTGGGTTCTTGTAATTTATTATACACTAGTAGTCCCGTGCGAAAAATTCGCACAGAATATAGTTATCAAATGCCAGATTAATAAGAAAAGAAAATAATGCAACGTATCAAAAAATAAAGAAATTAAATGTTACTTTATCGATAAATATAATCGACAAAGAAAACAAAAATTAATTTAAATCTACATTTTTGTTTGGAACCAACAAATTTCAGTAAGCTGCATCTTTGCTAAAAATTGTCCGATTTCAATGATTCTTTTTTCCTTTTGTAGGGAATTCAGTAATCTTTTATATAATCACGGGCATAACCGAGGGAAAAGTGTGTAATTTTTAAGTTATTCGTAAATAAAGTTTGTTTTCAATTTTCAAACTTATTTGCCTGAATTTTCGGGGTGATTGGACTATTTTGCTCGCCTGAAGGAGAAGGAAACCTTCGAAATTGGTGGCTCAATCTTGAGATTTTGTGAAAAATTGACGATGATATGGCTTGCCTTTCAAAAACACCATCGATAAACAATATAAACGCCTCCCCTCTCGATCATAGAGATCCCAAGTCTACGAAATGAGACATGTATTCAATGACAGTACTACAATTAATGTAAGGTTGTGTGGATGCGAACCCTATGCCTTGCGTTATCTCTAAAATAGTACGTTTTTGGGCTTAAAAACGCAGGATCCGATAGTTCTGGAGGAACTATCCGGGTCTTGCTGTACGCATCAAAATCTTCAAGATCCAATTTATCCCGTATCGATCTACAGACCTACCACCGTTCAGGTATTGAAGCATAGCAAAATGTTTTTATCGACTTTATTTATTTTAGAAAGAAAAACAAAAGTGGAGAATACGATTCGCTAACTCCCCGTGAAATTCTGAATCCAACGATACCCCATTCATGGTATTTGAGCATGACAGGAGCTTATATTTGGTACAAAACCGATTTCGAGCCTTACTGTAATAATATATGTACGGATTAGAATTAGTTTAAAACTAGAATTAGAAAAATTAGAAATATCACTAATATGACTACTCAAAAATGTTGAAATTGGAGTTAGTCATTCTGTTAATTGAAAATAAAATTTTCTTCATGAAAAAACTGTAAAATACATGTAATAGCACAAACCAGAGGCCATAGAATAAATAAGCCTCATATGATAACTTACGAATCCATGCTGAGCAGTCAGAAAACAGTAATACAAAAAAAAAATTCTCGATTCCTCCTAGACCGCATTCACAAGAAACTTCGGCAGCTAGGGTCTAATATTTTTCCATCTAGTACCACTAAAACCGGTGACCCGACATCCGTAACCTCCGTTTGTGAGTATCAAAGTACTTAAAGATAATTAAATTTTCTGTACTTTTACTCAACTTATTTTGAATTTGTAACTAACTATCATTTTAGTTAATGTGTTAATTCAAATTGGTTTGAGTAACAATATAGCACTTTATACTGGGTAAATTTAATGGGTAAAGTTAAACTATTTATTATAAGCAACTCATTATTCTTGTACCACTTCTCCAATTTTAATATGACCTAGACGATTATGGAACTTTGATCATATCTTGATACAGGTTTTGAATGGTTTCTGAGAAAGCTGTTTAATTATTGTGTTAATCCTTCACTTTTGGCTCAAAAATAACATATTAATATTCTCCAAAAAGTAACTATTTGCATTACTTGTCATGATTCAGTAACAAACTTCTGACATTTCGTTCTACTTATTACAGGCGTTTATTAACTAGCCTAAATGAAGGCGACATCAGCCGAACAAAAACGAACTTTGCCGAACTCATCAGTTTGACACGTTCGTCAGCCACAACAGGTTTCACTTTGTTTGTTATACTGTGAGAATTGACATGTTCATGTAACATGTTTTGCCACTATCATTAATGAAGTAATCTATATAAAACTAAGTAAGTAGATTTCAAAGATGCCCTGTTTTGTTATGACTTCTCGATCATAAAAAATTAATGTTAATAAAATGGAGGTACTGATTACAATTAGTATTACTACGTCTACAAGTTTTTAGTTCTGAATATGTCCGTTCATTATAAATAAAAGTATATCTAAATATGATACAATCTTCGTTTAAACAAAAGTAGTGAAGGCGTAGATTATTCTTATTACATATTATATCAAGGACTGAACGAAAAACCATCGCAATGCATGCATACACCTTTAAATAAAAATATTTTAGTATAAAATAACGCAATAAAACAACCAACTCTAAATTCTATGACAAGAAACCTTTTTACGGAAAACCAGATTGAAAGATGTGTTATCAAGGTCGAACGGTACTTTCAGAATCAGGTACTACGTAGTAATCCAGTTTAATGTAAACCTTACCGATACAAGGAGAACGAAATATTCCTGCTTTTCTCATAGTATGATTATATTATATTATATGACCTTATTTTTTAACAAAAAACAGAAGTAAAAATAAAATATTTTTATGGAACTACGTCTTTATTTCTAAATGATCTGTAGGAAAAATGGCACACTTTTTGGAGTTATTTTAATTTTAGACAATCTCGCAAGGACAAACTTTACAGTAAAAGTAATGTAATTTAAATCTTGAAAATCTGATTTTTGTTTTCAGCAAACCATCAAACATCAAATTTAATTATGTTTTATTATAAATGCAAAACTTCTCGTTAATAATATATAATTCCATTCTATTTATCATGAAAACATAATAGCGGAAAGATTTTTAGAAATATATAATTTTTTAATGACGTAATAATTAATTTTTACTCCGGTTAATAAAAAAAAAAAAAAAACTGCATGAACTCACTCAGTGAGCCAGATAAGAAGTAACTATTAGTTGTGCCAAGCTCATTCACAATTAAAATTAACTTTATTAATATTGATTTCTCGTTTTACCCGACCATGCATTACTTGGCTGTCTGACTAAATGGAAAAGAAAGAAAATATAAAGCAGGCATTTTACATATGTTTAATTATATATTTAATGTTCAACTTTGTATTGATTATTTTATGAAAATAAAAATTTAAATGTTCGTTTGTTCAAAATCATAAATCTCGGAAAATTCTTCACCAATTGCTTCCAAATTATGGCTTAAACCTTTATTAGAAAAACGCGTGGTTTTATATACCTGCTTTTACAAAATGTCAGACAAAACTATATCTCTTTCCGGGGTTGCGGTCATAAAAAGGCTAAATAGTGGTAAAACTATTTTATTGAAAGCCAACGTTTCGACCCGACTTTGCAGGTCTTCATCAGGGAGGTGTGTTCCTCTAGGAGTTTCACTTAGAACTGAGTTCTTGACTGAACTTGAGTTCTAAGTGAAACTCCTAGAGGAACACACCTCCCTGATGAAGACCTGCAAAGTCGGGTCGAAACGTTGGCTTTCAATAAAATAGTTTTACCACTATTTAGCCTTTTTATGACCGCAACCCCGGACCATCTCCTTCCTTTATAATGCAACGGTCAACCATTAAATATTCAATATATCTCTTTTCCCTTTCATTTGACCATATATGAAATATATAGAGTATGGCGATCATAAATATGCTTGGGATGTTACAGCGACTTTTTCGTCAAAATGGGCTAAGGGGAATTTGCTCTTAATATCACTGATTTAACATATTTTTACGATTTTCTTGACAACGGCTCTAACGATTTTGATTAAATTCATTATGTCACTGTAAAATTAGGCAGTTTTTAATATAATGTAAGTCTTATTCACATGTGATGTTCCCTAACGGGGCTTAAATGCCTAATTTTCAAAATTTCTTCCTCTAAAGTACCTTTAATTTATTTTTTTTTAAATAATTAACCAGTTCGTATTGTAACCTGGTGTAAAAAAAATTTTATATGTACAATTTGAAAGAATTTTATAGTTAACTTAAGGAAAAATAAGGGATCGTAACGGAGAATAGTAGGACCAGAGAGACCGAAGAAACGCGAGCTCAGCTGAAAGATTAGACTAGCCTTCTATATGTAAAACACGCTTAATATAATACGAGCTCCGTCAATATATATATATATACACACAGGAGTGTCCAGAAGGAGGTTTCATGTTGCAAGTTGCGCCATCAAAATTACATACAATTACACATGAGGTCACTTTTTGACGGGTTTATGAATTTTCAAAATGAAAAGTTTCAAATTAAAAGTGGATTCAAAGGTAAGTGGAAGCATGCAACAGACCGCAGCATGTGTAATTGTATATAATCTATGAATAGTTAAATTCTATTTTCGTTTGCACTGTTTTTAAGAAGAAGAGAGGAATAAAATATCTTGAGAGGGGGAGGAGGAACGTTTATGCGCCATCCGCCTTGGGGTGGATCGGCATCCCTGCATATACATATGCGGTTTTCATATTTATCAAAACCGCATATGTATTTACTATTTACTTAGTATTTACTATGCATTTGTATTTACTAGCGTTGATATTATTTAATATTTAGTTGTATAGATTACAGCAGTATAATAATTAAAATTTGAATATGTATCGCTGCATAAACAAATAAAAATACCCACAATAAAATATAAATAAACATATTGTCCTTCTTTATCAGTAGCACTCTTACCGGAATAATAATATTTCGTGGCACTTAATTATTTATTATAATCAAATAAATAATTAAACTATACAGTCGTAAAAGGAAATGGTGACAAAAAAATACAATACATTAGACATCTATGAAAAACTTATGGTAATTAATTGTTTTAAATTATATTTCGTACCGTCTATAATTTTTACACTCAGTTCTCTTATGTGAAAATACTTATTTCTGCTAAGGGTGGTAAGTGAAAGATGTGTGATGCGCGTACCACACCACTTGTTGGATATAAAAGCAACACATGCTGTTCAAAATATTTTATGATACCATTTCAATGAATCAGATTTACAAACATTAAATGTGGCTCTTGGGTTGGAAATGAGCTATACCGTTTACCATAGCGTTTATTTCGCTCTCTTCTTAAAAATGATATATTAGGACTAAATATAGAATTGTAAAAAATTGTATTTGAAAAATTAACCTGCTCGTGAAATAAACCCTAAGGCAAGCAGTGCAGCTTAATTTCAATGTAATGTTAAAGAAAATTATTTAATAAAAAATAAATTAAACCGAAATCCATGAAACCATGCACTCTATGATCCATAGGTGCAGATTTGGGGAAACAAGTGAGGTGATCACTCCTTCCCCCCAATAAAAACAGAGAGGGGGCAGGAATATCCTTTTGCTCTCCTTCCATTATTTCGAAGAACAAAAATAGAATCAAAATCAATAAAAATGAATCTACACGAATGAATAAAATTTAACAATACTATTACAATTGGTTTAGGTCATAACTATACCTCTGGGTTAAGCAAAGGGGGACAATAGAAATGTTTTATTATAATACTAAATTCTTGAAAAATAATAAAAAATCAGTTTTAAAAATTGAACATAGTGTACTATTCCCCCAAACTGGAGGTGTAAAGATAATTTTAATATTTTTGTTTGGTTTTTTTGGCAGAGATGACTGCAAGAGGGTTAAGTGTCAATTTATGCATGGGTGTTGCTGCAAGATTAAAAGCTGCTACCCAGTTCTCTGCACAATATTGTATTTATCATCAATGTATTGACACAATAGAGCTTACAACTGCACAGACTCTAATCCTTTCTCTCTTCCATTGCCTTCTTAATGGTGACTTTGCGACAATCCACACTCTACTACCAATAATTCCTTACCTCCCTCAACTAAGATCTTCATTCATTGGTGTCTGGTTGAGAGATGATTACACATTTCATCAGAAGGATGTTGCAAAGGTTCTGTCCACTCTTGCAAAACTCGTGAAGGAAGGAAATGTTATGGTTCCATTACCAGTTATCATAGCCTTTAGTGGACTAGAAGAGAAATATGATGTATTCAGCTTCTTACGTAAATCTGGAGATACAACAGCTCAACATATGTTAGCTTGTTTGAACCCTCTAGTCACCAGAGCTACCCAAGTTGGGCCTGAAGGTTTCAAGGTACCTATAAATAATTTCCAGTTTACAATATATGACTACAAGTATTTTAACAATTTTATTTATAGAATCAAGAAACAGAGGCAAGAGTTTACACAGAATCAATTTCAACTCAAACTGAAAGTCAATACAAAGAGGTATATTATTTTAGTTTTTTTAAAAAATTTAAAACAATGCAGTTATTAATTTTTATTAAATTATGTATGAACAATTAAAATTTTCATACAATCTATAACTGACCATCTATCTATACTGCCATTAGAGAAAAGAAGATGGGTAATATTCCAGTTCCCAATCTATTTTAGATAATTTGATAGTGTCATTTATTTCAATGAAATGAATGTTGACTGTCACACAGGAATTCAATATGCACCATTTTTTTAGCTTGTGCTCAAATATTCAACTGTCTTTGCCAATAGAGTTTCTGTTCAGTAGCTCTTGTATTTTAAATCTAGTATGTGAGTTCTATGTTAATTTTTTGTCAAAAAGAAAACCAAATTTTTGGATTGTGTCTAAGATAGGATGGTATAGAGCTAAGAAAGATTGGTGAATAGGATTTGTCTCAGATAGTGAAAGTGGCATGCTTTAATTTGAATTCTTTGATTTTGATGTGCCAATTGTTGCACCATTGCTCATTCAGGAAGAGGTGTATATATGGAGACTAGAAAACTGGACACAAGACGCTGCCTCTAGGAACACCGACCTCAACTCAACAATAATCGGAAAATTCGGTGCCACAGGGGACTTGGAAGGAACAGTTTGAGAAAAAAGAACTATTTTTATTTTTAGCTTGAAAAGCAAGAAGACCTTACTGAACTGTCGAATGTCCTCAGCTGTCACCAAATTAATGTAAAGGGATGTTTTGAGAGCCATGTATGGGTAGGAATCGTTTGAGGATTTTTACAAAAATCATTTACAAGTTTGGTGGAATGCTTATTGGTCTAACGATAAGGTATTATTGACTAGTTAAGGGAAGAGCATAATTGTGGAGTGTTTATATATCAACAAAAACTGGGTTGTACATAAGAAATATAATTGCATTTTTTTGGGAAGTTGTTAAAGGATCTGCTTAGTGAGATCGTAACAAGGAAATTTCCGGAGTTTTACTGTTTTTAAAGAAATTTGACTTCAGACAGGTTGAAAGCTTTAGGATAGAATCAGTATAGAGGAATTGGTGAACAAATTAATTCCTTAACTTCAGCTGTATGGGTGATATGGATCATGCTCAATCAGGATGGGGAGTGAACATGTTGGTTAGATGCTTGAAAACTTCTTCTACTTCATATGGCAGGCCCATGAATCATTATCATATGGAAAAGATGGGTAATGTCGGAGAAATGAGAAAGAACTCAAAAGGTATTGTATAATTAAATAATTATACAATATAATATGGTTATCGCATTTTCCTCACTACTTTACTTTCATTGTTTTCTTAATAGAATGTTTATAATTCTAATTATTTTAAAACCTGAGTTTTAGAAAGAAAATACATTTGAAAATTGTAACAGAAACAAGAAAGATCCCGAAAGGACGCCAATTCCTTCTTCATCTAGGGTAGGCTAAAAAATATAGATATTTTAGTATTAAATTCAATAGTTATATTCTAGCATTTCTTATTTTGTATGTTTTTAGAGTTATGAATTTAGATATTCTGAATTAGTTTATGTTTGTATAGTAAATATTAAGGATCAAGAAGAAAAGTGATGAAAGTCCATTTTCATTAAAAAAAAAATTGCTTCCATTATAAAATGCAAATTCTTAGTTAAATGATTAATGGATACCACAGTGTAGTGGCTTTAGTTATTGGTTATGGATGATAGAAAACATTAAATCTGGTACTAATCAGCTTAAGATTTTTATTAAATAATTTTAGAATAAAGTGGTCATTACATTCATCACTGCTTTACTTCCATTATTTTCTTAATAGAATTTTTATATTTCTAATGAGTGCACAACCTGATTTTTAGAAAGAACAGACAACCATTGAAGATAATAGGAGAAACAAGGAAGAGCCTGAAAGGTTGTCAAATCCTTCGTCATCTACGGTAGGCAAATAAAAAATATAAGTAGTGGAGTCTCAATAATTCTAATAATTTTTTACATTTGTTTTTAATTCTCTTAAGCCTTTTTTTTTCACAAACATTAGTCTGCTCGGCCAATCTGTCCCCTTTAGCAAAAGGGAGCAGTTTTTTTTATCCAAGGAAACACTACCATTAACGTTTTATAGGACATTTTTACAGCATTAACATTGATAAAAAACTTTTACTGGCACATGGTAAAAGGGATATACTGCAATAATTGTGACAATCAAGTATATCCCCTTCTTGTAAATCGGTCAGATAATTGCTTTGTACCATTTACAAGAGCTTTAACTATCTTCCAGATATCTATTATTATACAGGAATTTCAATAATTCTTCTCCTCCATGCTTATGCATTACTTCTGCAGGGTGTCTATTTGGTTCTAGTGCTTTATTATTTTTTAGCTGTTCCACCGTTTCATAGACGTCCATTTCAGCAAGCTCTAATTTCTCTAGGACCAACTCTAATTCATTTCTTTCTTCTTCTGCTACGCCATTAAGAAACATCAAAATAATGTCACCAATATTCTAGAATAAGCATCCTGGTTGTGATGAGATTTTCCTTGTTGTCTCTACAAGCATTTATTCTTGGTTTGAACGTCTGTTGGCTTCTGTTTATTTCTTGATAGAATTTTCTCACCTCATTATTGTCCAGCAGTTTTTTTATTTGCCGGAGACGTTCCAACTGCCATGCCCTTTTTTTCCTCTGATGGGTGTGTTTCTTTTTCCTTCTGGATCTGTATTCTTTCACTAATCCTTATATGCCTTCTCTGTAACAAAGTTCTATAATGAAGGTTTTTCTGATTGGTCACTCTTCGCCATTCTTAGTCAAACCTGGGTACTTTCTTGATTGATCTGTAGTATCCAAAAATTTCAGCTGTATTCAGTGAATACAGAAAAACAAGTGAGGCTTTCTTCGTAAGCTTTTGTGTTCAGTTTGATTTGTTTCATTTCCTAACATTATTCTGATGATCCAAGTGGGTCCTGGTCCCATTTAACTCAAATTATCATGACCCCATACTATATGAGATGTCCCATAAGTAGAGGGAAATATTTAAAAAAGTGATAGCAGATCTCAAGAGCTACAAAAAAGTTGATATAAACAATGGAACTGTTTTCCACAGGATATTTATTATATTACATTCCAGTTATGAAAAAAATAAATTAAATAAACCTTTGTGATAATTTATATTAGTCATTTATGCTGAAAACATTTTTAGGTGACAGGATATCAAATCACATTGTTTTCTTACATAACTTGAGATGAATCTCAACTTATTTTGTAATAAATCCTCAACTTAATTAATATGAACTTAAAGCTTATTGAACAAGAAAGCTTTTCTAAAAGTAGGATATCTGTAGTATAGTTGGAGGGTGATAGTATAAGGTCTTTTATCACTGCTTTAAATATTTCCCTATACTTACGGGACTAAAATACTTATACTATTATATCTGTTTTACTATTATTCCATAATAACCTATTGGCATTTATTATAGTTCAGCCGTTAGTAATTGGCAACCTTTAGGCAAACTCATGAGGCTCAAAGCTAAAACTAACATTGTTTTTTCCTGAATCTCCATATTACTTTCAAAATATTTACAAAGGTATACATAAATTAAAAGATTACAATAACATCTTTCAATATCTAAACATATTTTTTAATTTTTTGTAAGTAATACTGTAGAGTTAAGAAAAAACAAAACATGAGTTTTAGCGTTGTACTGTATTTTACTGCATAAACTCGCCCTCTGGCTGCCAATGAAACACGGTTAAAATGCAATTTATTCTAATTGACTTATTACAACCTTAATTCAACAAGTTTTCGAATGGTTAGTTAAGTGCCGTCCTTAGACATCTGGTGTCCTTGGACAATGACATTGTATTCTCCCAAAAAATTTAATTTATTTATTTTATATTATTTTTAAATTGTTTTATATTAAGTAATATTCAAATTTTAATGCATTAAATATGTCTCTAATCCTGTTGCTTTATTAAATGCTAAAATTAATTATTCTCATATGTTTTGTAACTTTCTTTTTATTCCAAATAAGTAGTGGCCGTCCTTTTCCAGGTCGGCATCACGGTTGATTATGATTACTTGATAATTAACTCTTGAATATAAAAATCTGGTCAGTTGAGTTAGTTTTATTTAAAAAGTTAAAATATATATATGTATATTAAACATAATTAAAATTAGTAAATTATAATTTCTTTTTAAGTTTATAAATTTTGTTATTTTTTGTCATATTATAAAACACAAAATACTTTTAAATTACTCTATGTAATTTTTTATATTTTATGTTGAAGGCTCAACTTTTACTCCAGCAGACAGATGATTTGGTGCCAGTCCAATTCGTACCAATTGTAGGTACTTTTATTTAATAACTTTACTCTCTCTAGTAATTAATTTAACTATTAACTGCTAATGGTTAGAAGTTCTTCTACAGTGTCTACTTTTATTATTCTTTGCGTAAGTATGCTCAATCCATCTTCACAACAAGATCTATGCAGTTGAAAAATCATTTCTGTAAGTAGACAGGTGGAAATACCTTTGCTCCAAAATGTCTAAAATAAATGACCAATTATCAGAAATGAATCAGCATATCAAAGGCACAAACGAGCTTTTTTTCTCTCTTTACATGGTTCAAAAATCTCAAGAAATCTCAAATCCAGGGAGTAAAATGCTGTGCTAAAGTTAATTCTGATATAGAGTCGCAAAACCTGGACTCTAATAAGTATCCTAGAAAAAAAAATTGAAAGAAATGAGAGAAATTTTTTTAGTTTATATCTTATGATATGAATGCAATATGGCACAGGCGGATCTATGGGCTGAAACTCCTCCCTCCTCCCCCCTCCCCCCAAAATGGTAAAATATAACCATGCTTTAAAGAAAAAAATATTAAAAATTATCTCTTAAAGTATTCTTGTTCGTTTAATTACATTTAATAGGACTTCAGGAACCACTTAAACACCATTTCATATAGGTAGTTAATTTCTTTCTCTTTTTTTTTCAAATTATTTTTATAAACTTTTATGAAAAAAATATCTTTCGGGTTGAAGCCCCCTCCATAATTAAATCCTGGATCCGCTAGTGCAATATGGTAGCAAGAGTTAATATGAGAAAAGCATGTAACTCAAAGTGATTCTTCAGAAAGCCTCTAAATAAGAATGAATGCCATAAAAATTGGCAAGAGACTATGTGGGAAAACTAAAACCAGATGGATAAATAAAATCAATAAAGATTTTTCAGAACTGCAACCAACCAACTAGAAAGATAGATAAATTCAAGATAGACAAAGGTGAAGAAGGCATGCTAGCATCTACAAAGTCTGTAAAGCCAACACAAAAAAAAAACATTATATGCATAGATAGCTGACCATATGTTTCAAGGAGATAATCAAGGAATTGGTCAAAAAAGAAATACATTAAACAAATTTTGGAAAATCTAGCTGTTGAGCGTGAAGCCAACCCAATCATTTCCCTGCTCAACTGTTGGCCTTAAAACAGTACTTCCTTACACAGTAATGAACCCAAGTTACTCCATGGGTTGTTGACTCTATTTCATCCTATTAAATCTTCTTTCCTTTTCTCAGAATTAAATCTCTATCCTGGTTAAGCTATTTGATATGTTACAGTTTGACCCCATACCAAGTAACATTATTTCTGAGAACTGCCCAGCTAAAGCATCTATTATTATATGATATTAATTTCTTTAATATGAGTAAAATTCATTCATAAACAAATTTCATCGAATATCAAAATTTTTGTAAAAAAAACAAACAAACAAAAAACACCATATAAATGCAAAAAATGTGTGGTCTAAGTTATGTAATTGTATTTTGCATTGTACATATTTGATGAAGTTTTCCTCAATGTTTAATTTAATCTTTTAAAAGTATTAGATTCATGTAATAGTTCACTTAATGTCTTTTGACATTTTGATTCCGATCTGTGTAATGAAACCATATAAATTTTGCCTAACTAGGCTTTCAGAGTTTTTCTAACTTGAGGAAACTTTTAAACCAATATATTTAAACTTTTACAATATTTTCATATTTAATACATCTTAGTTCACAGAGTTAGATATTGTCATTTTAAATGCTATTTTTTAAATATTTCATATCAGCAGTCAATAAAATAATAATTTTTATATTTTCTCAGGTTCCTATGATTGGGATAGCTGGAAATAGTGCTCAATCACTAATAGAAGAGTATTTGGATTCTGAAAGAATGGAAGATAACATCAATATACCAGATATTGAAGGAAATCTTCCCATTCATCGGGCAGCTATGGATGGCAGGACAGATGTCGTTCAAGCTCTTCTCCAGCAGGGTGCAAGGCCCAATGATACAAACAGTTTCAAAATGACACCACTGCAAATGGCCATTTCCAGCTGTCGAACTGATACTATCATTTTCCTTTTGTCCCATGGAGCATCACTACAAAGTAAAGATATAATGGGAAGGACAGCTCTTCATCATGCCGCACACTATGGTGACCCAGATGTGATTAGGCTGCTCTTATCTCATCGGGTAAACAAGGAAGCAAAAGACGCTGCAGGCAATAGGCCACTTCATTTTGCCTCAAAGTTTGGACACACTCAGGCAGTGCGATTGCTCATAAATGCAGGAGCAAATAGACAAGTGAGGGATTGTGAAGGTTTCAGGCCCATAGACTGGGCTTTGAAACATGGTGACTCTGAAATGTTTAGGATTTTAAGTGAGCGGGGTCTCAGGTTTAGCTAAATGGAGGCTGTGATCGCCAACAGTGTTAAAGTGTCACCTTAGCAATGCTGAATGTAGTGGTACTGCTTCGAATCCTTTCTAGGCAGGTTGAAATTTATTTTTTGGTGGAACCCACAAAATGAATCTTGAGCTTCATATTCTAGTTAGAATGAATTATTTACCTGTAGAATAACCTCCCTCCTCCTTAATTGTAACTGTATAATATGCACCAACAAATAAGCCACATTCATTTCATTGGGTTACTTTGAAATGAAAAAAGTAAGAGTGCCTCATATCAAAGACAGACATCTGTAATTTTCAGAATGTGCCAAAAAAGTCAATTTTTGTTTTATAGGTTCAACTCAAACTGTTTCTGATTATTTTCCTCAAGATTGATCAAGTTGAACCATGAAAAAAAAATCATTAGCATTGTTTTAAATTTAAGCATTATTACAAAATTTAACTATTTCTCAACGGTCCAAAAATGACAGATGTCCGTCTTAGATATGAGACCACTTATTATAGGAATTACAGTCAATTTTTTAATAATTATTTCATATTTTTCATCATTTAAATTCTTCTTAATAATCTTAGATAAACTAACATCAGTTGAATTGACATGTAAAATACTTTGTATATCATTAAATTTATAATCACTGTGACAGAAGTTTATTGCTATCACAGAAGAACTTACATCTTTCTATTCATGAGTTATTAAAATATTGAAATTTATTCCAATTAACTTTAATTTTGATTTTAATCATCACAAAGGGATGAGGCCTAATTTATATGAGTAATTGACTGATTTCAAGAAAGTTAGCAGTATGACAAATTTTTTTATCTCATTCTTTGTTGTGTTAAAGCGTTTTAATTTAATTTAATTTTAATTTAAATTAATAGATATAAAAGATGTTTAAAACTTGAACAATCAAATTTTAATATACAGCACATACAAATTTCTGATTAATGTAATAAGAGTGTGCTGATGTTCACCCGCAACAGTACACTTAATGAGACCAGTTATTTTCTACCGTATAGCGAAACACTCCTGTTTGTTGGTGAGGCAGAGGAGATTTAGGAGAGGGTATAAAAAAATCCTTGCAGTCAATGATCTTTAAGATGAAGACTAAAAAAAAAGTATGCTTTATATGATTAACCATATCAAAGTTAATTAAATTTTTCACAAAGCTGAGAAAAAAAAAAATTAGAAGCAAACAATTACTATATTGAAATTTGCACCCAAATTTATTAGGAAAGTTGTGTGAGTGGATATAACACGTATCAAATATGAGTATACTACAACATTTATTGCAAGAATTGTTTCTCTTAAAAAGCGCATATCACAACTGAAGTGTCATTTACAGAACATTATTTTTTATAAACACAATCCATGGCCCGAAGGACTTAGTGGAGGTACCCTGGACCAGAAAGTTTGGGATTTCTGACTTAGGAGTAGAGACCTGCAAAACTTGGTTCATTTGTTGTTTAACTGAAAAGGCTGAATTAAGCCTTGTTCACCTTAACTTTTTAGATGCATGGGGTATTAACACAAAAATTTAGCTTGCCTTATGATTAGAAGCACTTAACTTTTAGATGTGAATAAAAGGAAGTGGTATAAAAAGAATATATAAAAATATTTTGATGGAATAAGTTTATTATCATATTAAAAGTAATAATACATAAACGCAATATTTTAGTTAAATATTGGAAGAAATCCCGGAATGTTTGTATCCACAACAAATCAACAAAGTTTATCTTCTCAAATCACATGTAACCTCCCCGCCATACTCTTTGGTTATGCTGTTACTTTTACAAGCCATGACGTTATTTTGAGAGTTCCAGTAAAGTACTCCACAACTGTTTTTATATGAGGTGAATGTAACTGTGACAATTGTCAAGTTACTAAATTCAGCGCTAAGTTCATCGATGAGATTGAACCCACTTTTTAGCTGAACCAATGAGCTCAGCGCTGAATTAAGTTACTTACCCAATCAATCAACGGTTATTTTAAAACAATCATCCATCAACGGATGGGAATATGTCAATAAACGGACTAACTCCCATACGATCATAACCTCTAATTGTGAAAAAATGTAACAGCTACTATTTGGCATGTAGCCTGTTACAAAACCACTTTGCCATAGTTACTGACGTTCTAATACTCAGATAATAATTGCCAGAATAGTTTCTACAATGGTTCGTATATGTATGTTAATTGCGTTATCCGTTTCTGTTTGCTGCACGGGTGTTGAACTTGAGACTAAGAAAGGGATCATCAGAGGATCGGAAGGTACATCAAGAAATGGTAGATCATACCGTCAATATATGGCTGTGCCCTATGCCCGACCTCCTATTGACAAGCTACGATTTAGAGTAAGATAGTTCAAAATGTTTTATATTAATAAATATATTTTTTTTATGTTCACTAATATATGTTTCTCCAGTTTATCAAGTTTAGTTAGATACCACTTTGCGAGAATATAAGGGATGCAGCTCATAATTTTTAAACAGAAATTTAAAAAATTTAAGAGCACCAGTTATGAATGGGTGATTGGCGATAGTCCAAATAACTATCGTCTCTCTTATACACAAATTAATTTCAAATATAATATTTTTATAGAAATAAATTTAATAAGACGGTTCATAATTCTACCTCTTTATTGATAAGCAAAATATAGTATTAATATAGCAATGTAAAAGTGAAATATTTGATATTGGAAAACTGTTCCGAAACGACACAATAAGAAAATAAATAGAAGTATGAAGGCATGTTATTAAAAATATCTCTATTAATATATAAAATTGAAACAAAACAAAAAAATACTATCTCTAGTATTAATTATACGTTACAGTAATAATATTACAGTATTAATTATACCCCAGTATAAATCGTATGTTTATGAAGGAATTACGATACCTAAAATGCCTAATAAGTTCATAGGACTTTTCAAAACCTTGTTATATAGAAATTAAGCATAAATTCTTATACTATTCTTGAATCTTTGGTCCAACAGAAGTAATCTTTCCGGTACATCTCCTTCCCAGGAAGAAGTGGATTTAGTATACAATATTCGTCCATCACTATATGAAGATTGAAGACCTTTTTCTGTCATAAGTTCGAGTAAACACTTCATTGATGGTACAGCCTCCAATAACGTGCTATGCGGTCTCCGGTACTTCGCGATTGAGGGTCGATTTTATTTCCATGCTCTTTGTTTGGAAGTTCTTGTACCCCGTGAGTTGCTGTTATAAAAAAAATTATTATTGTGCACAGCGCTAGCGAATTCTGCCAGGGGGCGCGCTCCCCTCCTCCCCCCTCCCCCCGAGAGTTGGAAAAAAATTCCAAAAACCAGCTATTTAAAGAAAAGGGAAATATAGAGAAAATTCATCCTCATATACGATGAATATCCTAATGTAATACAAAAGAAAAATTCTATCGTCACCAGCACTAGCGAATTCTGCCACGTCACGTCCAACCTCAGGCACTAGAGATCCAGCCGGGGGGGCGCCCCCTCCCCTGGAAGCTGAAAAAAACCTCCAAAAATGTTACAAAAAAACCTATTTAAAGAAAAAAAAATATATAGGGAAAATCCATCCTCGTAGATGAATTCCTAATGTAATAGAAAAAAAAATTATCGTGACCAACACTATATTCTACCATGGGCGCACCCTATTTAGATGGTGGAAAATTTTTCGAAAAAAATTTACAAAGACACCTATTTAAAGAAAAGGGAAATATAGGGAAAATTCATTCTCATAGAATAATTTCCTATTGTAATATAAAAAATCTGGTGTCCGCAACACACAACTTTCACCTCTACTTTGAACAGTAATTACTTTCTGGCAATGCTGGGCTATTATAACATTTTTTTAAATACATTTTAAACAGAGATAAACCTTAAAGCTTTATTTTTATAGATTTAAATGACCTTATTTAAATTTATAGATAACAAGTCATTAAAACCATTATAATTACAAAATGTCTATTTAATATATCGACGGTAAGCAATAAAAATTTAGTCACTCCATCTGCTTTTATAAACCACACAACTTTCTTTGCTTTTATAAACCACAGAATGACTCCAACTCCAATTTCAACATTTTTTAATAATGTCATTTTAGTGATATTTTTAGTTGAAAAAGTTATCTATGCAGACAGTGAGTAAGTTGATTCCGGAGGTGGTGATTGCAGTGTTAAAATATAGAACGGTGAAAAAGGTATGAATTTAGGTACACATTTCTTATGAAAGATACTTTATTAAATATCTGTAGAAAAAAGGTTTTTTTTAGTCTCAACAATTAAAAAAGTATATTTTAAATTTATCCAAATTTTCGCCTCTTCCGGAATAAAATCTTTTTTTACGGTATATTTTAAATTTTCATCTGAAAACAAAAAGATAAAATATCCTTTCAGATGACTTACTATTGGACATAAGCACATTTATACAACAAAACACATAATAACATTAAAAAAAATTAATATGAACCAGTCAACAATATGTACTTTATATAAAAAACTCAGCAAATTATTTCACAATAGTTTACTATTTTTTAATAACAATTATCCATCTAAAGTATCATTACCTTAAAAGTTAAAAATAAAACAAAATTAAAGGTGATTCCAATTATTGGACTAAACTTTTTTTTAATCATTAGTAATATGCTAAAACAAAATTCAAAAACCAAAACAAAAGATATAAGCTTTGAAGGAGAACATACCAAAACAGAACAAAAAAAAAAAAAAGCTACAGACCATATCTTTCCTCCTAATTGTCCGATTTTAACGATTTTTTTTTTTTGATTTTTTAGAAAATTCCGTAAACTCCAAAAAACCATAACAATATCCCCAAAAAAGTGTATACTTTTTGGGTTTTTCGGAATTTAGTTTTACCATCCCTCGTAACTTTTTTTCCAGCTTCTTTTCGTTGAAGTATATTATATAGATTAATATAAAGGATGTCGAGAAAATGACTTACGCGAAGTTTCATTGAAATCGGTTCATCCGTTTAGGCGCTGCAATCTATAGCAATGCATGTTTTTCTGCATTTTTATTTTTTTCTCCTTTATTAACTTATCAAATTCTTTCAAAAGTTATATTTAGCATTTTTTTGTAACTCTGAATAATTTGAAATGATTAACATTATAATATAAACCATATTAAAGGTACTTTAGAGGAAGACGTATATGAACATTGGGCATTTAAGTCCTGTAAAGGGACATCAATGAGGATAAGACCTAATTGGTATTAAAGATTACTTCATTATACATTGATACACCGAGTTTAATCAAAATCGTTAGAGCCGTTTTTGAGAAAATTATAAAAATGTGTTTCAGCGTTGATATAAAGTGGCACTTCCGGTTAGCCAATTTTAAGGAAAAAGTTGCTTTCACATCTAAGGCATATACCTATCTTAAATACGTAATATCAGTTTCGTACGGCTTTTCGTTTTTGAGCTAGACAGTTAACATATAAACACACAGACCATTTTTTGGGACTTGGTCATTTCGACTCAGGATACCTCAAAACGTGTATTTCCGTTAAAATCTCAGATTTAAATATTTTCTCGATCGCAATACTTACCCTTACTATATATTACATATATACGTAAGTGAAAGCAAAAAACATAAATTTGAAATTTCTTAGTTTTCTGCTGGAAATTGGGCAATTGTTTATATGTACTTTTTTTTTGTAGATTTTGATTTTTAGTATTAACCTTTTAAATATTTCCCTCTACTTACGGGACACTCTGTATATATACAGGACATCCCGTAAATAGAGGGAAACGTGTATTTCCGTTGAAAACTCAGACTCCAAAATTTTCTCGATCGCAATACTTAACCTTTATTACAGTGACCAGCTCTAGCGATTTCTGCCAGGGGTGCGCCCTCCCTTGGATGGAGGAAAAAGTTTCTAAAAGGAGCTATTTAAAGAAAAAAAAAGAAATATAGGGAGAATTCATCCTCATAAACGAATTTCCTAATGTAATATAAAGAAAGAAATATTGTGACCAGCACTAGCGAATTCTGCCAGGTGGCGCGCCCTTCCTTGGAGGGTGACGAAAAAATCCGAAAAAAGTTCCATAAAACGCAAATTTAAAGAAAAGAGAAACATAGAGAAAATTCGGATGAATGTACTATTAACAAAAATTATTATCACGATCATTTTTATTAATCTTGCGGTTTTTCTTATTACGTCACCTTACCAACCTGTGGTGCACGACGAAATTTTGTGAAACCAACAATACAATGTAAGAGCATAAGTCGTAGTTTGTTCCTGCTCACTCCGAACTGAGTCTCGCAGGTGGAATATATTATGGAGGAAACTTAATTAATAAAAAAAAAAAAAAAAATTATTCTTTCGAACAAGCTTTTATTCGAGCCCAAGAAAATACAGTTTTTCTCCCGGACCCAGTTTTTATTCAGCTCTAATAGATTTAGAAGCATTGCAACCTTCAGCAACTATTGCCTCCTTGAAGAGTCCATGGGATTCATAAAACTGATCACGATAACAATTTGAAATTTCTCATTAGAAAATGTTCTTTTCTTAATACAGCTGCTGTTGGAAATGTTTTCATGAAGAAAGGTACTACTTATTTGGTCTGTGATTTGATCGGAGTCTGATTATGATCCAAATCGGAAATTATTGATTTTCTTTTTTAGAGAACTCATTTCCAAGCTGTAGGATCATTTACAGTAATCTGTCTCAGATTTTGACAATAATGGTAAAAATTAGAATTCATTGACCTAGATATCGACCATATTACTTAATCAAATTATTAAGTTTAGGTTCGACTCTTTCGACGAACAATTTGACGTTCTTTAATTTCTTAAATAATACGTTGTTTGCATTGATGCATGTTTATTTGTAATAATGAAAAAAGAAATCAGATAAATCTGGATTTTATGGCTGTAAAAAGTTTTCTCTTAGTGACCCGTGTTAGCAATTTAACTTTTTAACATGTCTAAACCCATATACAGGTTGTCCCGTAAGTAGAGATAAATTTTAAAGGAGTGATAGCAGAACTCAAGAAACACAAAAAAGTTTCTACAAACAAAGCTTAGATTTTCAGCAGGAAAGTAGGAAATTAAGTTTGTGACTTTTTAAGTAAGTCAGGTTTTTTGATGAATATGAAGTGATAAATAAACACTATTTAATTTAAGTAATTAATTATTAGTTCACTGTAAACTAAATAAAATTTATTTTAAATAAAAATAGAGTTTGTTTTTGTTAAAACTATTTAAAGAGGACTTTTGAGCGGCGAAACTCAGCTAAGGAGTGGGGGAAGTTGGGTAGTTGTGGGGGAACGGGTATTCAGAAAATTCCTGAATCTGCCACTGTCTATAAGTGGAAGTTGATAGGTACTCCTTCAACTACAACTAGTGCAGTCTCGCCTTGAGATTCCGAACTAATGAATTCCAGTCTGGGGAGGCCTAATTATAATTACCCATGATTATACTTTTATAAATGACCTTCATCGTAGGGCATTCAAATCCCCAAAACTCCTTGGCATTGGTGAATTTCTATCTTCTTTCATATTCCTCTAAAGGGAGGCAATGATTACATATTACCAGCAATCTAGTTCCTATATACAGGATGCTATTCTAGAGGATTACTACATCAATGTAGTCCATGCCTGAGGTTCCAGCTATCCTTTGAGTACTTATGGCAGAATTGGTATATTTTAAAATGATAGTAAGCAGTCTGTATAGGATTCTTTTCTACTTTCACCAGAGTAGTTGCCTGGGTATCTTTCCTCTTACCTCTTATTAAAATAACCAGCAATTATTAATCCAAGGTATGGTTGGTTTACTTTAACCTGTTAACAGGTGAGTCAATTGACTCTATTTGAAAAATGTTGCCTCAAGGCTCTGTTATAGGAATGTTTTGTATACACATGTATGTATGTTTTGTATTGATAAATTATTATATTTTCTGTTTTTAGAATCCTCAGATGCATGATGGCTGGGAAGGTGTCTTAGATGCTTCAAAGGAACCTCTACCCTGCATACAAAAAATATCGTTTTCCACTCTTAAACAGAATTCGACCATTGGAAAGGAAGACTGCTTATATCTAAATATCTACACTCCTGTAACCTTAATAATCTTGAATTATCTGCATATATTAATTTTCTGTATAATAGTTTGATTTATTATCTTAGAGTGAGCCAGAAAATGATGAAAAACTTCCAGTAATGGTCTATATTCATGGTGGAGGCTTCCGGTGGGGATCTCCTGGTTCCAAAAATAGTGAAAAATTTTTCATGGATGAAGACATTGTTCTTGTAACTGTTCAATACCGCCTTGGAACTTTAGGTTCGCAAAATTCTTTTTCTCAAATAATTTCGTATTAAGAATGTATATAAAATCAAATTCAAGATGGATACTATTTTAATTGTATTCAGAAATTCGATTAATGAACTTTTTTATCATTAACTTTAATTATATCATTTACAGATACTGTTTGTGACATGATTTTCAATGTTTTAAATCATTTATTAATTTTTGGTTTTTGTTGCCTCTACCCTGCAGGATCATTGGAAATATATTTTACTTACACCCTGTTATACAGTTTCATTATTTCTAAGAACTCAAATGTTTTTCTCTGCTTTTAAACAGTCGTTCAAGTTATCTTTGAGACTTAGTGACATATCCAATTTTAAATCTAGGGCAGTCTTGAAAAATGTATTTGTCGGCCTGTTAGTAAATAAGCATATGAGAACTCACAATGCATAATCCTTAATTGGCAGAGGACTAATTCTTCTTTACTGGAGGATCAGTTAGAAGTTTTCCATTTGGAACAGAGGCTTTTTATTTATTTTAATTTGGATTATTTTTGTTGCCATCTGTTCTGCCACATTGTCCACTATTCCTTCTTTACATGTTCTAAGAAATCTTCTACTGGGACTTTGTTAATTATTAATACCGGAGTTGTTCCTCTCTTTTCCCCCATATTGGCTTTAAAGGCTTCTTTATCTGCTTATTCATTTCTAGTGATCCTGCAGTGTGAAGGGGCCCCTCTGAATATTATTTCCTTTCCTTTCTCTCTCAATATCCTCCAAATATTTTTTATTACCCTCACCAGTGTAGTTGTTGGTCTTGTGTTTTGGAACGCTAATATTGCACTCATTGCGTCTGTTACCATGGCCCACTCTTAATTTTCTCAATATATGTTAGAGTTTCTCTCATTGCTATCATCTTTCTTCTAAATTTATAAGAAATCTTTGAAAGTTTAAAGAACATTTTAGTTTATAAAAACGCATCCTACTTCATTGTTTAATTTTGAAGCATTTGTATGTATCACAATACATTCTCTGTTTTTTTTTTTTTTTCGAAATTTCAAAAAATAGGTTTTGTGCTTCAATTTCAAGCTTATCTTTTTGACAGCTAACCATCAAGTTTTCTATAACTGGTAAAGTGTGGATCCATCAGCAAATTATTATGTGTGTCATATCCAAAACTGTTTCTAATTTTTGTTCTTAAACATTTTCATTCACTTTGAAATCATTATCAAGTATTATTTATTTATAATCTGTTTATATGTATAGTGTATTTAATCTCTTCCAAATAATGAGGGTTTAGAAGTTTTAATAATTAAACTTAATTATTAATTAATAATACTTAAACTTAATATGCTGTTCTTATGTTCGAAACTGCTGCATCATGTCAAGTGTCAAAAATACTTTTTATTTCAGGATTTTTATCAACAGAGGATTCCCTCATACCTGGAAATTTTGGTTTGAAAGATCAAGCAATGGCCTTGAAATGGGTAAAAGAAAATATTGATGAATATGGAGGGAATCCTGATTTAATTGTGGCTTTTGGTGAAAGTGCTGGAGGTGCTAGTGTACACTATCTTTTAACGTCTCCATTATCAAGAGGTATTATTTGTAAAGGAAAATACTGAATTATTATTTTTAAATGTATGTTTATTGAGATTTAATTTTTATATGTCTACATTCTATGTAGCATTTTGTAGTACATGTAAGCAACTTGATATTTTCTTTAAGTTAATTAATAATGGGATATTAGGTTTAATCTTAAAGTTCAATCAAAATACCATAGAATTATCATTTGTTTTCAAAACTGTGATTATATACATGAGAACTTGTAGTGATTTATTGATATTATTGATTAAAAGAAAAATAATTTGACACCATTATTTTATGAACATGTTAAAAAATAATTTTCTTAATCATAGGAAAATCAAAATGAAATTGTTATCCATTTAAATCTATTAGTATTGATTATTGTTGAAAACTAATTATAGCAGATGCTTATTTATTTATTTTATCATACAAATAATGAGAACTTAGGTTAGTCTGATTAATTGAAATACTAAAGCTTCATTATATGGATATTAACATTTTAATAACTCAAATTTCTAGGAAATAACAAATCACTTTAAGTTATGCATAAAGTTAAGAATATTTTCATTGATAAAACTTAGCTTTAGCTTCCTTCCATTTAATAATATTACAGAGTTACTTTTTTACTTAGAGAGATAAGATAAATTATTTTTTTTGGTGAAGTAAACAGTACAATCCTTTTTTATCTGGAGTTATGATGAATTTAATTTTTTTGTATTCTTATTTTTTTTATCACAGAATTTTCTCAAGGGATCACAAACCAAAAAAAAAAATATAATAAAACAATAATAATTGAATTATCAAAGCTTGGGTTATCATGAGTGGACTGAATTAAAAACCATTCTTTTCTTTTGTTAAAATGTTTTTAAATGAATTTTACATCTATTAATTGAAATTTTTTTAGATATCATTAAAGGAGGAATATCTCAGAGTGGTGTTCTTGACGCACCATGGGCTCTTTCTCCACCTGGCCGTGCAAGGAAATATGCTATGCATGTAGCTGATATGGTTGGCTGTGGAAAAGATCCATTACTAGAATGTTTCCAGTCTCTTCCAGCTGAGCAGTTAGCAGCAACTGATGCTGAATTTACTGTATGGAAATGATTTGTTTATATTTCATTAATGCAAATATTAATAAAATTAATCACTTTGCTTGTTTAATACTTTTTGCTGGATTCTTGGGTCTCCTAAAACATTTAATTGAATATTGATTATCTTTTTAACAATATTTTACTTTTAATGCACTTCTATAATTTTCTGCCGATTCACTTTTTGTCTCATCAACTCACAAAATTGAGTTGTTCCTTTGGCTTCTCCAATTTCTACCTCACTTTTTCTGTTTCTTTTGTCGGAAAAGACTTCATATTCGTTTAATAAAACTTAAATTTAGGCAATGGAATGTTGATTGTGAAATGCAGAGATGCTAAGGAGGTTCTGGTTACAAACAAGAAATATGTCCTTAGGCATTGAAATTATCACTTAGATTTTCATTTGAATGATAGAATGGTGGTGGAAAATACGACAGTGAGAAAGATGCTAATAGGTGATTAAAACCATATGATCTTGAAGATGTTGAGGAGGCTACTCAACAGTTGAATAATAATAAGGCTTAATAATAAATAATAAGCCGATGATCTTCCAGTTGAACTGATCAAGTACGGGGGTAAAGAGTTGACAAGATTTCTCTATATATAGTGATGGACATATGGCATACCGAAGAAATGCCATTTGAATATAACAAGACACTAATATGTACAATGCACAAGATGGATGATGTGCTTAGCTGCAGTAATTGTCACATCATATCCCTACAATGCTATGCCTATGAAGTATTCTCAAGAATACTTTTAAAAAAGCTCTTTCCCTTTGCATAACAGAAAATTGGGTTATATCAAGCAGGTTTCATAAGGAAAAGATCCACAATAGACCAACTTTTCTCGGTGTGGATTATTTTGGAGAAAGCCAGAGCACACCTATAACACATATAATTTAATATTTTTTATAATTTTCTGAAAATTTTTAGTTATAAATCTAAATTAATAATAATGATAATAATAATACTTTATTTATTCTGGGATGAGTCCCTTTAGAATAATACAGGAAGATAGAAGTGTGGGCTAAGGAGCCTCAGAGATACATAAATAAAAATACAGAGTAATTGAACAGTCTTGGTGAAAAAAAAAAATCATATATATATATATATATATATATATATATATATATATATATATATATATATATATATATATATATATATATATATATATACACATATATACATATAAGTTGCTTTCCAATTTTGATCAGTTGATAATACAAAAAGTAAAAAAATAGATAAAAAAAATTAGAATACATATAATGAAGAACGAACTAATATTTTATGTACATACTTACAGTAGTATCTACATACGATTTTATGGGGACTGGATGGATAAGAAATTATTGAACAGGCGGGATTTAAAGGTAGGAAGGGTATTGGATTGATGGATGTGGGAAGGGATGGAGTTCCCTAAGGATGAGGATCAGATAATGAACGATTTGTCGAAAGCAGCGATTCGGTGGGCCCTTATGTATAAATCAGAAGACCGGGAACGAGTATTGCGGGAACGAACAGAGGATTTGAATTGAAGGAGCTTGGAGATGTATAAGGGACGGTGGGATTGGATGTCTTGAAAGAGGAAGGATGCTAGGAAATACTTACGATGGTAGGAAGGATAAAGCCACTTTAACTCCGCATAAAAATGAGAAACAGGCGTCCCTTGGGATCCCGAAGATGAATCGTACAAAGCAATTTATCAAATGTTTTAGTTTCTTCTCGAGATCCCCAGAGAGGCCCCCATATATCGTACAGCAATAGTCAAAGTAGGGAAAAATTATGGAAGTGACTAGGAGCCTACGGGTTTCAAAAGGAAATAGGTGACGGGAGTAATTTAGATGTTTTAGGATGGAAATGGCACGGTGGGAAATATTGGATATATGATTTTTCCAAGAAAGCGTGTCCAAGAAAGTTAAAGTAACTTAATGGCAGAATACGATCTTATTCTAGGCTTTTAAAAATTTTTTTAGTATAAGTTAATATTAACATAATAATCATTATTACTTCCTGCTTAATAAATTTTAATTCTTGAAGAATTAGTGTCTTCTGATTTCTGTTATTCTTATTACACTGTTGTCTGTCTATTTAGAATTAGTTCTATGTTTAATCATGAAGTTCATTTACAATATGATTTTATTTTGTGATATTCTGATGGGTATGTAGTTATCCTTGATGTTATTCAAAGTCAAATATCTACTTGATATGCTTATATTTTATTTTTACAGACGTGGGATTTCGATCCTGTTGTGGTTTTTCAGCCAGTGATAGAAGTGAAAAATAATGGTGCTTTTATGAAAGAAGATCCTAGAACCATAGAGGTTACTCTACCATGGGTAACAGGAATAACAAATGGTGAAGGAAACTTGAAATCAGCAGGTATTAAAATTTATTTGAAAGATGAATTTTGAACACAATTGAAGAACAAAGTAATCTTTTCAAGATACAAAAAAAAAGTTCTTTCTTTCAAATTATTCTTTGTTTAAAGAATATATTTCTCAAAATATTCTTCACCCAACTAAACTGTGACAAAATAGAAATAGAATAATAATCTCGATAATCTGGACATATTATTGACGTGGAGTCTTCCAAATTATCGAATACAAAGTGTGTTATTAATTTAGAAATGCACACATAGACATTTATATTTATATTTCTTCTTCTTCTTTATCTCTCTCTTTGTGCCATTACTAGCATTAAGGGGCCTCTATCCAATGCAGCCATACCTCTTGGTCCCTACTAAGCCGCCTCATTTCCTGGAGGGTTTTACCTCTCTTCTCTCCAAACCGCTGCATATACTCCTGATAGCAAATTCTGGGGAGGCCCCTAGCCCTCCTCCCAGTGGGCTGAGCTTCCAGAACCTTTCACAGATCTCCTCTCTCCATCCAATAAACATGGCCCAAACCACTTCAACTGTCGGTTTTCCAGTAATGTCCTTAGCTCCGCTACCTCCAGATCCTCTCTTATGCATTCATTTCTGATGCAGTCCCTCCTGTTCTTTCGAGTAGCTCTCCACAGAAACTTCATCTCGGCTGCTGTCACAGGGCTAACTTGCTTGTCCAGCATAATCCAGCTTTCGCTTCCATACATGTGAGTTGGGAGGTACACCAACTTGTATATGTGCCTTTTTGTTTCCTTGCCAATTTCCTTGTGCTCAATTATGCTGTTGCAGATACGGTAATAGACCTGGTTGGCTTTTGATATCCTATTCGCTACTTCTGGGTCAATCTTCCCCATGTTGCTGATAATTGCTCCTAAACAGGAGAATTCTTGCACAAGTTCAAGTAAAAATTTTTAAAAAATTGTCTTTTCCAAATCCTTAATTTGTATAACCCCTTATTTGAAGGTTAGAAAGCAAGAACTGCTTTCTTCTTTCACTTTAACACTATTAAGGCTGTACCAAACCTATTCCTATCCTGGCTTATATCGTGAAAATATCAATTTGTTTCACTTTCCTTACCAATTCCGGTCCAGCGTGTTTTCTGGATAACAGTTATTTACAAATTAAGTTTTGCAGTTTAGTATTCTGTCAGCTTAACAGGTATATAAAGTGATCTTACGTTTTACATTCCAATATTATTAGCCATTATATAAGTTTCAGATTGTTTACATAAATACATCTTAAATCCAAATCGAGACTGTTTATGGTAAGTAATGAGTAGTTGTTTTTTTTTTTTTGTTGTTTTTTTTACAAATAGTGGGTAGTCAGTTCCTCCTTCAATCCTCCTTTTTTAAGTGTCCTTGGGACTGCAAGTGATCCTTAGGTAGCAACTCTCACAGGCAGAGTTTAATGAAATAATTGAGGACATGGTAAAGGTAGTAAATAATAATAGAAAGGCTTAGCGAACCCGAAGGTTCGATGCCGACACCACCAATCGCTTATTACACACCTCCCTCCACCGTTCGCCGTCCAAACCCAGTCCCTTCAGATCGGCTTTAATGCAATCTTCCCACCTTCGCTTCGGTCTACCCCTCGGACGCTTACCATTCGGCACAGCAAATATTAACCTTTTAGGAATTCTCTACTAAGTCCAACAACTTTACAAGCCCATTTGATTCGCCGCGATGAAATTATCTCAATTATATTACTCGGATATAGTTCACGCATCCTTCTTCGGTCCGAATATTCTACGCAATACTTTATTTTCAAAAACCTTAAGACGCTGCTCATCCCTTAATGTAAGCGGCCAAGTTTCGCACCTATAAAGAACTGTAGGCAAGATAATTGTTTTATAGATTCTAATTTTTAAGTTTCGGGACAAGAGGCGCGAACTAAGTAGTTTTGTCACAGAAAAATAACAAGCATTTCCCGCCTTCAGTCTAACCTTAATTTCTTCTTCAATTTCGTTTTTTCTAGTTATCGTAGAACCTAGATACCTAAATTTATCTACCTGTTCAAACATATTACCATCTATATCGATATCACCAGTAGTATCGCCATTTTTGCAGCTAACCATATATTTTGTTTTATCCACGTTTATTTCGAGTCCTAGTTCTTTACCGGCTTTCATTAACGTTGTCGTATTTAGTTTTATAGTTTCAACGTCTTCGCTTAACAGTACCAGATCATCAGCATAGCCCAGCACGGATGTTGTCCCGCCCAGATCCAACCCTTTCTCGGTTCGCATTACCTCCCTAATGGCATGTTCTAATGCCAAATTGAACAGGACAGGCGAAAGAGAATCCCCCTGTTTTAAGCCCGAACGAACCTCAAATTTTTCGGACAAATTATTACCGATTCTAACTTTATTGAGTGTCTCCGTCAAGCACATCCTGACTAGATTTACTAGTTTTTTTGGAATCCCCTGCTCGATTAGAATATTATACAGTTTCTGGCGGTCAATAGAATCGTAAGCCTTTTTAAAATCTATATACAGCTGGTGAACAATACCGTTGTACTCCAATTTTTTCTCTAATATTTGCCGTAAAGAAAATATTTGATCAATAGTCGAACGATTCCGTCTAAATCCGCATTGGTAGTCTCCGATAATTTCCTCGGCGTATTCCGTGATTCGACTGGTTAAGATTAAAGTAAATATTTTATAACATACCGGAAGGAGTGAAATTCCTCGATAGTTATTACAATCCGTCCTCGCGCCCTTTTTGTGAATCGGAATAAGAATAGATTCTTTCCATTCTTCAGGTAATTTCTCATTCACCCAGATCTTTTTAACTAACCGATGTATTTTAGAAACTCCAGCTTCCCTGCATGCCTTAATTAGTTCAGTAGGAATATTCTCGGTTCCCGCTGCTTTATAAGATTTTAATTTTCCGATAGCTAATTCAACTTCCTCTTTACTCGGTTTAAAATTTGAAATCTTTACTTGGTGGAAAAGGTAGTAATTCATGAAAAGTTAATTTTATAGGTAAAGAAAAAACCGTTTTGACACTTTTTTTGTTTTAACTTAAACTTTTTTATTATTATAGGGAATAAACTTTAAGGGGCCGGTATAACAGCTATGTAGGTAGCTAGTAAAGCAAAGATCATAGGATCGAATCCTGGCCCTACTTCCCAATAAAGCTGGTCTCCACAGGAAGTTAGACCATTAATCTCTTAAATAGGGGAGACTATGTTAAAAAAAAATTATTATTTAGTTGTTATTTTTCTTCTATTTATTTTATTTTTTGTGTTTATATAGTGTAAATGTAGTCTTACCACTCTATGATTATTGCTAAAGTGACAGAATATTATATTACTCAATAAAAAATAAATAAGAAAGCTATTCATAGAAACAAAACAACTCCCAGTTTTGACTTGCTCATCCTTTTATGCCATCGACATGACTAATTATTCTACCTTTTCCATATCAATGCCTCAATTATTTAAAATAATGAATAATAGATAACAAATGATTCATATTATCTATAAATGAGAAATAATAAGTAATTCAGGTAAAAATGCCAACAAATAACTTGTAAAAATGTGTTTGTTATTAATTATTTAAATTTAAAAAAAATTCAAATAATGCCCAACACTATTTGTAATCTATGATCTATGGATTTATAATACCTATGCTAATATTAATGTTGTTTATTTTATTTTCCTCCCTATTCTGCCTTTTAAGCAATGTAAGTGCTTGCAGCAGTGGATGCCCTTGATTTACAACCCACTGGTATAAATGAAACAATTCACACATTCATTTTGAACTGTGCACAAAGCTTGCTTGTTAGTCCAAGATGTGGGACAGCAGTCTTCTTATGGACAATATCTAGACGTGAATACAATTTTCTTTATCCACAGGTAAATCTTTCTCTATCATTCAGAATTTAGAGTCCTAGACCACTACAAAAAAGAAAAACACTGAGAACTTCCTTTCACCTTAAGCCAATTAGCTCGCTATTTTCATTATGGTTTCCCCAAGCTAACTAAATTTACAATATGGACACCCTCAAGCCAAACTAATTCCAATTGTATTATGAGACTGGTATAGATTACTATAAGCATTTGAATGAAAAATTACGAGAGAAATTCTATTTTATTTCACATGTTGTTTTTTAGGCATTATAGGCTTTGTAGATCTTTTGCTGCCTTAATAAGCCTGCTCCATTGCTCTCTATTTTGGACTATCTTTCTCCAGTTATCTTAATGTAGCTGCTGTATCTTTGTTGATTATATATCTCCATCTGCTTTTTGGCCTTCTGCACGGTTTCTTGCTTTCTATTGAGACATTCATTTTTATGTAGAGGCTTCCAGATGATTGCTTTGAGCTTTATGCACTGCCCGGCTTAACCTCCATGCCTTATAATAATAATAACATAAGATATTGATTGATCAGTTTCTGTAAGCAGCTCTTTATTGGTCTTTCTTCTACATGTGCTGGTCCTCTGATCCCAAATTTCTCAGGTTATCCTGTGGTGGATTTTTCTCTCAAATCTTTCAATACTTTTTTCTAGGGTGCTGGTTAGTGTCCAGATCTCACATTGATATATTAGAACTTCTCCTAATTATTGTATAGTTTTATACAATAGATTGGATCAAATAACAGCCAGTGTCCATGCATTATCCGTATATTTTCTTTCTAAATCAGTTAAAACTTACCTTTTTTTTTTTTTTTCAGCTCTCATAAATCAAGATCCTTCAGTATTGGATTATTTTATTGAGAACATTGATAAAGTTCTTGCAACTATATTGTACATAGACCCTAAAACACCAATGGCTGACCAACTTTTGAATATGGTGAAAAATCGGTATTTTCAAAATCTTACTGACAAAAAGCACATCCTGAAAGAACATGAAAAAGTAAGTAAAAAATGAAATTGTTTATTGACATATAAAGTATCTTTGTCTTTTAAATTATATTTTTACTTTTATGAAATGGGATAACACATACTTATTACAAAAATAGCTGATCTTGCTTACTCATCTTCTCTGTCTTTGAATTTAATTTTTCTCCATTGGTCATGTGTTAGGTAATAAAGTATAGTAGTCTAAAAATATTGTCTTTCCTTAATTATTTATTACTATCACTTCACAGAGTGCATATATTTTTTAAAGCCAATTTTTTTAAAAATTATATTTAAACTAAGTAAATAACTCATCCCACTTAAAATGGTCCCTTTCCTTATGACCCTATTCATTTTTATTAATGAAATATTATTTATTATTCACACTGCTTTATGTTTTCTTCTTTTTTTAGTTATTCTTTGATTTGTATTTCGCTTATCCTATGAAAAAGGCTCTTGAACGACACACAGGTCCAAAGTATGCCTACTTCCTCAGCCATAGACCTGAGCATTCGATTACAGACATGTTCGGACCTATTAAGTTGAATTCTTCAAGTAATGATGATTCATTATTTTATTTTATTATTATTCTTAATGTATGGTTTCAAAACCACTTCTATTCACTTCTTTTAAAGTCTGCTAATTAATGTTTATACCTTTTATAATATCTTTTCTTTTTTCTTCCTCCACATCTCTCTCATCCTCTCAGAGTGTTGAGTCTTCCTTTTCTCTCCCACCAGTTGTTGTGGAAAATTACTTTATTATTTATTATTTATAAATTGTATAAATGTTGTAATGTGTATTGTATTAATATAAATAATGTGTAAAGAGTAAATTAATATTACAATAAAGATGGTAACACTGGTTCACACCAATGAGCATTATGGGCACACTCTGTTTGGGTCTGTTATGGTGTTCGTTAGACTAACCTTGAAACAACTGTTTTCATTTTAATACCCCACAATCCCAACATTCATTTAGTTATCTATTTCCTGAATCCTTCAGGAATCACCTTATTTTTGAGTGAAAATTTCTCTGCTGTGTTTTTGATGGAGTGAAAGTGAAAGCCTTACTAATCAAGACCTGTGCAATGCTTTCGGGGAAGCTGATATTGAGAAAGCATGAAGTTAAGGCATTTGAGGTATGCAGGGCATGTTGCTAGGATGGCAGATGGAGAAATGCCTAAAGTATTGCTTACACAGCCTATCCATAGAACAAGGAGAAGAGAGAGATCAAAGCTGAGATGGTCAGATCGGAGATGCCAAGGCATGTTGGCAGTTCGAAACTGGATGGCTGTAACGATTGGAGGAAACGCTTAAAGGAAACCAAGACCTGTAACCGGGTCGTAGTGCCATGAGAAGAAGAATCTCCTTAATTCAATGAATTATTTATTTTAAACAAAATAATGCCACACAAAATTAATATTTTATTATTTATTTATATTTTATGCAATTTGCACCTGCATCTAGCAAATTTGTTATGTTTGTATTGTCTTGGTGTATTTGCTTGATATGGATTTTATTGGTGTAGCAGGACTCTTGGCCATTTTCTTTTTAATCTGTATTGTTCAGGTAACAGGGAGCAGGAGATAGAAAAAACCAGAGGATTGGAGTGATTTTGGCTTGAAGAATAAAGTGTAGTGTATTTGTCGTGGATGTAGGATTTTACTGTTGGGATGTTTAAGTCGTTATGTATAGTAGTATTTGAAATGTACCAAGATGTGTTAACAATTTTTCGTAAAATTTTTGATTGTGCTGTTTGTATTTTTTTTATGTGTGTTTGTTTTGCTGAACCCCAAAGTTCTGCTCCATATGTCCTTATTGGTCTCAGTAAGGTGTTGTAGATCAGTCGCTTGTTTCGTAAGTTAAGTGAAGATCTGTAGTCCAGAAGATGTGAAAGTTGGCTATATCGTCTAGTAAGTTCTTGTCTTTTTAATTTTGTATGTTCCAAGTAAGTCTTTTGTCTAAGTAGAGTCCAAGATACCGTACATAGTTCTTTGAATTAATATTTAGATTTAAAAATCTTAAGAATTAGGTGTGAAAAATGCATTTAAGTATTTTTTAAATTGTTTCTTACTTTATAATGAATCAAAGAACAAAATATGTTGGGTTTTTTTTTTTTGTCACCCACTGCATTCAAGCCACACATGAACACCTTAAAGTGCAGAGGATTAGGGAAACTTGAGGAATGATGATGAAGTTCCTATGATTTTTTACTTTGGTTCTTAATCGAATACGATATAGGCCATTCACCTCATGTTCAGCAGTTTCTGTATCATGACTTGGAGCGGAGGAGGGAAGTGGCCGAAAACTTTGGTTTAGTGAGGCTCTTTGATCAAATTTTATTTATTATCAGTATTAACAGGCAATTACAGTGTTGATTTAAATATAATTCCTTTATCAAAAAAATTATTATTTTAATTTAGTAACCTTATGTGCTTTTGTAGCAGGGCAGAAAAGAAGGATTATATAATTAAACCTAGCCTTCTTTTTGTCTAGTAGTTTTGCTTCATTACATGTCTCCACTCCAATCTGTCTTGAATTTCTGTCAGGCTAAGTTTTTAAAATAAAAACTACAAATCATACTTATTACACTTTTCTTATCAAGTAGCTATATTATTTCAATGTTTCAATTTTTATAATTTTTTAAATCATTAAATTAACCCAAAATAGAAGAAAATATTTTAATTGAAAAAAAAAACCGGCTACAGAAATTGAGAAATATTCTCCATCTTAAGGGAATGTACTTCCTACTTACTTATATATCTTGATAAATTGATACAGAAATTGATATCTACAAATATTTAAACTTGATGTAATATTGATGTAATGGGTACCTTTCACTACACATTATGGTTCCAAATAGATTTCGTCCCAAGTGTCGATGCATGTGATACATGGGACGAACGAACAGGATAACATCCGAGTATTGGGTTTTGTTGGGGGGAAGGTAGGCATTCAACTACTACATCAAGTTTGAATATTAGTATATGTCAATTTTTTACATATGCAGAAGCATTTGACTATGATTAATATATTTTATATTATATTATGTAATCTTATTGATATCATATACATACCGTTTTGTGTTTAATATATATTCTATTACATTATCATTATGTTATAAATTATTATATTATTCTACTATATTGTATTATTATAATAGGTTAGAATTTTATTATATTGAAATGCTTAGAAAAAAATTAAACCCTGTAAAAATTATTTACTCATCATTAATGACACCGACTGATAGATGTTGCCATCTATGGGACCAAATTGTAATTATTGGTTAGTAAACTCTAAACTCTGAAAAAAAACTCTAAACTCCTATTAATCTACCAAGGTGTTTTAGTAAATATGGAAATACATTTCTTTAGGGTGGATAGTATTTCTATATTTGGGTGGTTTTTTTTAATTCAAATATTTTTTTTATTTTAACAATTTTAGAATTAAAATATTAACAATTTATTTTAATAACATATGATCACATGATATCATTTCAGATCAATTAATAATCAAGATACTTAAACTATAATAAAAATTTTTTCAGTATTTTGTGCTCAAATTATTTCAAAACAGTCATGGGATCTCACCGAGTAATTACAACCATCAAAGTTAAAAATCGATCAAGATATCCAATCAAAGTATTGTTACATACTTCATTAGTAGAACACACTTTACACTGTAATTTGTGGGAATTTTGAGTTCAAATTCTTTTGAAACATTCATGGGATCTCACTGAATAATTTAAGCCATCAAACTTAAAAATCTATATAGATGTTCGCTCCATTTTTGAATTACATAGCTTTTAGCAAATAACCCAAATACATTAATCCTTCGTTTAGTCAGGTAATAATAAATTTCATCGATGATTATTGTATTTTTAGAAATTAACTTTATATTCTAGAAGCTTGTCATGGAGATGATACGACGAGCCTGTTTGACAAATCTGCCTCATTCCCCAGCAGCAAAGAAAAGCCTGAAGATAAACAATTTTCTGAACGCCTCGTTAAAATGTGGGTCGATTTTGCAAGAAGTCTGTAAGTATCATGAGTTGTTGTATCAATGTATTATTTTATATACAAAAGTTATGTTAATGTATAACTTTATCATTTTAGGAAATCCAGTGACCAAAGTTTCAATAAACAATGGAAACCTTATTTAAACAACAACTTTCTCCACTTGAAAACATATGAGTTTATAATGGAACAAATTTCATTGGATTATTTGCTGGAATTCTGGTCCAAAGCATACAGCCTCATTAAACATGTAGAAAAAGACGAACTTTAATTATAAAAGTTTGAAAAATAAGAACTTTGTCACTACTCATAATGTTGACATTTGCTGGAATCCAAGTGACTGATTTTTTTATCATTTCCCCTTTTTCCGCTGATCATAGTGATGCATATTAGGCAACCAATTTATTCATTTCAAAGTGAAGTTAATAAATATGAATATATTTTATTATTATTTACTTCAAATAGAACTAGATAAAGACTAAAAGTATTTACAAGGACAAAAATCTAACTTTATAACCTCTTCTTTTCCCTGAAAATGACTTACATCAATAGAAATATTGATTATTAATTAAAAATCAATGTGTTCATTTGTGATTTTTTATTAATCACAGTGACTAATTCACCATATGGCCTATACTAATTTAGTTCTGCCACACTTACTTATGACATCATACTTTGATTAGAATTAATTACTATAAATGAATGATATGCTCACGAACTGAGACCAGTGATATTTTGTAACTGACTTACTTGCCCCAATCGATATTCTTATTTTTTTCATATTTTTGCATAAACCGCTGAATTATTATATAGTTTTGAAATATTTCTGTATACCTAAATAAAAATAATAAACAATATAAATTGAGATTATCTCTTTCAATTTAATTTTATACCTTTTTAGAAATGTTTGAAATTAGAAAAACAAGAAAAATGTTACATTATTTTGTATTTATTTATTTTACTTTAGAATGTCTGCCTATAAGATTGGATTAACCAGAGACTACAAAATGTGTGTTTTACACATATTTTTTTTTTTTTAATTTAATATGGAAATTATAAATAAATACTTATAATAAATTATTAATAAAATCATTTATTTTAGTTTTATTTACATTTGTATAACATATTTTAATGGAAGTAGACATTTATTATAATACAACTTTTATTAATTTACAATAATTGCCATCAGGGAATAAAAGATAGCATTTATACATAAGTACACAATGTTATATTAATATATTTCATATATATATTAGACATGAATAATTTTTTCCCTTAATAAATGATCAATCAAAGCAATTTATAAAACACTCAATTTCTTTGTTAAATTAGCCTATGATTTGGCTCAACAGTATAACCATTCAATAAGGACTATGAAAAACCTTAAATAAACCAACGGCTATTCTAAAACACTTTCAGCCCTGAAAATGACTTACATCAATAGAAATATTGATTATTAAGTAAAAATCAATGTGTTCATTTGTGTTCTTTTGTTAATCACAGTGACTAATTTCCAATTTGAATTTTATCTGATTCATCCTATCACATCAGTCATTATCCAATATTTAAAATATATATATGGTTAAAACATTAACAATAATTTTCAAACCATCCTCTTAATGGTTCTTAATCAATCACAATTTTAATAAACAATATTCTGCCCAATATGTTTGAAATGGAAAAAAAAAAAGTATTTTATACAGGTAAAATACAAATTTAAATAATTTTGGTAACAAGAGAAATAAATTCTGCACTTTTTAGTATCATTTATGATTATTATTTTAACACTAAGTTACAGTACACTTATTGATTTAGATAAGAAAATTTATATATGAGTTTTTCTTACATTGGGAACTATTTAACATTTAATTAATATACATTTAACAAAATTATAATTAAAGTGTTTATCAAAATCCTAAATGATGAAGCCATTGAGCTTAAAACTATTATTGCTTTATTTTCTTATACGATATTTTAATGTTAAGTTTAATAATTATTGTATCACTATTTTATACAATAATCTTTTGAAAATGTAAATTTTAATACCACTTTATTGTCTTTCAGTCATAATATTATATATCATATAATACATTAGATTGTTTTATATCTGATCATAATCTCTTTAACTAATACTATATTTTTTCACATAATCATATTACTTATTTTAAAATAACATGAACTATATAATCTTAAGTAACTATATAATCACAGCCACCATGTTACTCCTACCCTCATAAGAACATTTTAACACGTTATATCTGCAAGACAGATCATGGAATAATCTACCACAGATTTGATCTTATTCCTAGATTGGAGAAATATAAATTTTTGACGAAGCCATTGGGAATAAATTACATTTATCACATAAACACATAAGAAACTGTACTTATTATGTCACAAAGAGTACAGAATAACTTAAAGCAACCTTCAGGGGTTTAAAAGTGAGCTCACTACACTGCTCCCACTCGTAATATTCAGATAGCTGAAACTTGATTTATGTTGTTATCGCCATCTAGTTCCGATTTTTATTATCTGTTTTTTTTTTTCTAATAATTTCATCATTTATTTTTAAAATGTGTATATGTGAAGGTTAAAAGCTTTTATTCAAAAGATATCAAGGTTCAAAATTTAAGGTAATAACCTTAATTTAAGATAATAACAGTAATGACGTAATTATAGAGCACAGAATAACATGAGAAGATGGGGCTGGGGCAGATACGGGTTTGATAACCGAATGAATTGTCGACAAATTTTTGTTAACAACATTTTTTTGTATGTAAAATAAAGAATTTAAATATATTTGCAATAAATAAGTCCATTTGACCTTACAGGAATTGAGGGCTTCGAGGATCATGTTAGTGGGTAGAATAGATCCTACCCAAACCCAGAGATGGGCAAATACTGTCATTTTTTTAGTACCAAATAATTTAATTACTGCTTCAGTTGACGTCAAACGATCAACTGAAGTAGTGATTGAATGTCCAATAGTGATACAATTTGAGTAAAATACTTGGTGCTCAGTACTCAGAATAGCATTTGCCCATCTCTGCCCCAGCCCCATCTTCTGGTGTTATTCTGTGCTCTATAATTAGGTCATCACTGTTATCTTTGATCTTAATTGTTTAATAAATTAATATTTTGGAAATTATATATTCTTTCATCATAAAATAATGCACTTCAGACAATATAAACATAATTATAGAAAAATCATTTAAAATCAAGGCACTTTCCTGTAATATAGTCTATAGAGTTACTTTTACTTTTTATCTTTCACAGGAATCTATTTTTAAGTGAAATATTTAAAAGAAAAAATAATTTGCACTTGAAGAACTTAGATAACATGGCAATTCATTTTTGCCCCCATGATCTTTAGTAAGTGCATAATTGTACCAATACTGATTGTTAATACTTGAACAATATGAACATTCATCTTGTTGTCTCTCTTTGTTAATGAAGTACCATTTTAAGTTATATACTTTATAGAACTCAATCATTCATAAATCTAGACATAAAACTTAGGACTAATACAATAATTGTGAAGACAAATGTCACTGCATCCAGCCAGAACATGCGGATGTATGCCCAGTAGGAAGGTTGCTTGTAATGCGTAAGGATGTGGATGATGCAAGGCATAGTTGTTGCTAGTGTGCATTGTGACATAATTCCTAGGACTGACAGCACTAGTTGCAAGTCGGGCACCAATATTGAAATAATTACTGAAAAGATATCTTTATTAGACCATGTTTTTTTAAATATTGTCACATTATATTATTTACTTATTTTGTCATTCATTGATATTTCTCTCTCTCTGGGAAAGTATATAAAAAGACATAAAGTTAAAATATAAAGTAAAAAATGAAAAAAGAGCTATCAAACTTCTAAAAAAATATATAAATCAGTTAAGAAACAGCACCGGAAGAATTGAGGGAATGCACTGGGCTTAGACAGGCAAAGAAATTTATTAAAAGCCCCTCTTCCTCCAAAACAGAGTGGCTGCTGGGCCTAACTAGGAAAGAAATCCGGCTCATCATCAGAGTACTAACAGGCCACTGCAGACTTAAAAGACACTTAAAGATCTGTAGGATAGTGGATGATGAACTCTGTAATTTCTGCAGAAGTGCACCTGAAACTGCCCTTCACTTCATAACGGAATGTGACCGATTTGCGTCACTCAGATACAGACTTCTGGGAGCAGATAGAATCCAAGTATGCAAAGCTGCCTCCATTAAATGGTCCAACCTTTTGAACTTCATTAGAAGAACAAAAAGATTTGAGACAGAATAGAGGTACAATAGACAACCACTGGTAGTATCAAAGTTTGGGGTTGGCAAAAAGGACCAATATGCCCACTTGCCGAACTAAGTCCCCCCACCTGTATCAGTAACAGCACCGGATTGGGACCCATAGCCTTATCGGGTACTATGGTGGCCCAAAAATATCTGTAACATATGAATGTTTTAAAGAGTCAAAACAGACTGCTTTTACAGATCAACCTTCACATAATCAACTGATTCTTACCAGAGTGGGAAGGTCTTGGGCCTTCCACAAAATATATTTCAACTCATCCTTGACTAACGCCACTAGATTCAAAGTTGTTACGGTTGTGAGCTGTTTTTTTTAATCAATTAAAAAAGGTTATGAGATTTAATGGGATGGGGTGACCCGGCAACCTGATAGCCGAAGTTATAAAAAAATAAAATAGTTTCGAGTTCATTTCCTGGTGCATTAATCTACTACCCTCACCTCCTGGCCTGGGGAAACCCCGTATAGCCTACAAAGGGAGGAAAGGAAAGACAAAAAAATAATTTATTATGAGTTTTAACACTCTATCTCAGCATTGGTTGTGCACATGAGGTTAAATATTATCTGTCTTGCATAAAATTAATAAGTTTAATTGATGCACATAGTTTACAATTATAATTTGTTTTATAAAAAAGTTTACTTCTATTTTTTGTTTTTTAAACCACTTCACTCGACCAATACTGAATAGTTCCTCTTAAAATATTAAAAAGGCTGTGCAAATTGCTTGATATTAATAATAGTAATTGAGTTTTTTGGATAATAGCAATCTATTTGTGCTATTTCGATAAAAAGTTTATTTTGTCCATGATGATTTTAAAAAGATTCAAAAGATAAAGTCAAACTTGCACATTTTCAGATTCACTGGATGTATAATACCAAATTCACGAAAAAAAAATTAAGTCTCGGAAGTTTGTGGACTGTATAAATATAAAAAAAATTAATATAAATTGAGAGGCCCATCAAGATGCCATTGGCGGATCCAGATGTTAGTGCTCCCTCCTGCCATTAAAGAATTAGAAAATTATAATTTTTAGAATAATTTTATATTCTTATCCTTAAAAAAATAAGATTTGTTCCATTATAGAATAAGTTGGTATTTTATATTTTGAAACTTATTCTTCCTAAATGGAAACACAAAAGAATTCCATATGACCCTTAGAAACAGTTTAATGTTGCTAATCGTAAGTATCATTTTGAGATTTTTTTATTTATATTTAAAAGGAATATAATATAAATCGGTTTTATTTATTTATGTTAGTAGAATTTTTAGCAGCTCGATTATTGATCTGGTTATTGGCCTGCTAGGTGATTTATTGCCGACTATGGTAACATTGTTGTACAGAGGCTTCCTGACGGATTGCTTCAGGCTTTATGCCCCACCAATAAATCTTTCTTGTGAGATACCCAATAGAATATAAATACACCATTTGGTGTAGTTCATTATTAGGTTTACAGCTTATGAACCTCAAAACTTGAAAACATTCAAGTGGCCTTTTAGGATTATTTTATTTATTTTTATGTTGTAGTATGACTCAAACTCATCACAATCTATAAAACCAAGATGAAGGTCATGAAAATGAATCATCTTTCTTCATTAAAATGTAGATATATCTCTCTCAGGAAATATTGAAGCACATTCCATCTATGTAATGTTATGCTTTGTAAATAAACTATTCCTGTGTTAATGAAAATTGCCCTAAAATATGAAACGGAGTTTTTTAAAATACATTAAAAACTTACAAGTAACTGTAACGAAGCTTATTCTTAGGGTGTACATTGCTAAAGTGCGATATCTGGTTACCCTTTTGTTCAAGTAATCATTCCAGATTACATTTACTCCAATATATAATGTAATGGCCATGGAAGTAAGCGCTGATAAAGAAAGGAGAATCTGTACTGCTGTGCTCACCCTGCAATGCAATTATTTTTCATTAATATATTATTTCATGATTATTTTTTTATTACATACAGAAAATAATAACTTTTTAGGCAATTCTATAAAGGAAACAATACTATAGGAGTGTGCATTGTAAGGTAAATGTACAAGTGATTGACACTTTAAGACAAAATTTTAACATTAATGTAAACCAAAGCTTTAGTTCTGACAGTGAATCTTTGCAAATGTTGAGAGCAAATTTAGTCTTTTATGGAATTTTTTATATACAGTCAATTAGTTAATTATTCATGAAAAACTTAGGGAATTCTGACAGCGTGTTTTGTACCACTTATAGACACTCAGGTTTTTGTGGTGAATAGGTCATTTCCTATAATTTCCTATAATAAATTCTCCAGTTTTAAACTAAAAACTAGTAAACCGCAGATGAGTGAATACAAATTTCAAACTTATCTCCTCAAGGAAACAAACTCCAGCGTTTTTTATTAAAAAATCAACTGCCTATCGGCCATTGTGGTATGATATCACTTGAGGTTTAGGCATCACCCTCATATGTATTTTAAATGCAAATCTACTCATATTTTCACTCTCTTTTTTAAAGTATAAAGGTAATTATATGTTAATGAGTTACATGACAACTGTCTATTATTGGTACATTTACCTTACAATTAATTGCAATGAATTTTATCTATGTAGGATATTATAAATTAAAGTATTAAGTAAAAATGTTAAAATTTAATCCTCTTTTTTGTAATCCTTTGAACTTTGACCTAATCCAATTCAGCAGTTGTGGATAAGAAAAACAATGGCACAATTTTTAAAATAAAATCTTAAAAATAGTAAATTAAAAAACAATTTTTACAAGCATAAGTTATAACCGTTTCATGTATTGATTTAAATTTTTTTCCAAGTTCAATATAATTCCAAAAAAAATTTAAGCTAAGAGTTTAAGGAAAAATGTTATATGGCACCTAAAATAAAATAAAACTGTTGTGTTATTTTATAATGTTTTGTTGAGGTCAAGAAAAAATTAGCTGTGTTTTGGCAATTCATTTGCACAATAAAACAAACATAACAGATAATTCTGTTCTGGTTTACCTTCTTAAGTTATCTTTATACAGTGGATTTCACTTCAATTATTTTAATCTTTCCCTCAAAAATGTTTGATTTTTTTTCTGTCACGTAACCAACTCTTAGATATCTATCACTAAATTTCTATTGGACACTTTTTAATAATTCAACTTAATGATAGGGGTCATTAGGAATAAGTATTAAAGATAATTTTTTTTTTTTCAAATATCATGGAATTCTAAAATATGTGAATTTAGTGAGATCTAAAAAAGAACTTTAAATGAAATCTTTTAACTACAGGTGCATTATGTTGGACCTGCAATGACTTATATTGGATAAGTACCAAGTTACAAAACAAACAAAGTGGAAAAATGAAAATAAATGTAAATAATGCTTTGTTTAAATTAATATAAAACAATCATAATATATTCAATTAATCAACACTCAATAATAAATAATATAAATATATAGAATGTTGTATGGTATCAGTTTTGAGACATCACGTATCACAACTACATTATCAACAGTGTTTGGGTGTTGGTATATAATTAAATATATATATTATATATTAACAATATATTTAATATATATATCTTATTATTATTAGTTAAAATGTGAGCATGACAAAATGAATTAGAATGAAGATTATTTTTTTCTGGAAATTTTTTATTTAAAATATATATTATTGTTTACTCAATGACCTAAAGTATTTTTCTTTTTTTTTTTTTTTTGTAATAAACAGATAAAGATATAATTTTAAAAAATTAATATTTAAAAATTTCCTCACCAGTTAGAAGGTAAATTGAGAGTTATAGTGTCTGCAGCTTTATGTCCATACTTGAGGTATGCTACAAAACCAAAGAAAATATATATGATAGTACAGACAAAAGCAGTGACATTCAAGACACCAAAAGTTCCTTCAAGCATCCCAGGTCGTTTCATCTCATTTTCCATTGGTAGCACCTGAAAATGAAGACATGTTTAAGTATAAATTCATAACTTATTGCACACGTTTTTTGTTTTTATAAGTAAAGTCTAAGTTGAATTTTGACTTTGTTGAATCTAATGCTTAAACCACCATTAAATGGATACCATGGATGCAACATATCTGAGATAAGGGTTTATAGCAAGATTCATACAAATAATAATTGATTGGATGATTCATAATTTTTGTTACTTTTGTCAATTGTTTCAATATATATTTTATTGAAATTAGTGATTTGAATCCTAATTAAGATCATAATCTAATATTAATTTCAACCATAATATAAGATGTATCCTAACGCAATTCTTAACAATAGTGAATTTAAAATGATATTATATTTTATAACATTGTTATTCAATGATTTGGTTCTGATGTGTTCTTAACAAGTAATATGTATTACTAACATTTATTATATTATTTTTGTATCTTTTTTAGTATTTAATGAGTAATGTAACCTGTCCTTTCTAGAATCCTCCTGAAGATAACTCATTAGCCATGATTTTGAAAATATATTCACAGTGATACGTGATGTTTTTAGTTGTGAAGCATATTTTTAGTCTTAAGAATTTTATAAAAAAATTTATTCTGAATTCGAAAAAATAAATAACTTTTCTATAATTCCAGTTTAGATAATTATCTTTTATCCAATAAATCATTTGTTTATTGATCAAGTAGTAAGCCATAAATTTATGAAAAATTGTTTTTTGAGAAATGAAGAAATAAGTATTCTAATAATTAAAAGGATTACTTTTGACACATAGGTATGGTATAGGTTGTAATCTTTGTCTCAGGGGTATAGAAAAAGTTTTCAATGGATATCTGGGATCTGGTATAATGATTTATGACCCAGGATTTACAATTACATAAAGTGACATTATTTAAATTATTAGAGAAATTTATTAGATGATAAATTACTTACTAATGTTATGGTAACAGCAGAGTAGAAAATAGTTCCGAAGAATTTTGGTAAATCTTTGGGATTTCCGAAAGGATATCTTTCTTCAAAAGAAATGGGATCTTTGAATATATAATATATTACCACTCCAATACTGGCTGCGAGGGTAATATTTCCAAGCATAGAGAAAACAGACATCTTCTTCATGTCTGGTATTAAACTGATAATAACTGCCGGGATAAAGATGATTAATTCAAAATAGCGTATATCCATATCCAAATGAGGGTAAACAGCCTGCAACACAAAACATAAGCAAATATATATACATATTTTAATTCTATATATCTATCTGACAACTACAATGAAGGCATAGTAATGAATTCTCCATCATAGATAGTTGAAAACTTCTTTAAGGTATAATTATTTCTATTTTGGTGGTAACTTTTTTCAGTCATTATCAAATAATGTTATAAAATATCATAAAATAATGATAAAATGTTTTCAAAGGCACTTGCGTTAATTTACTTTTAGACATATGTTGATGAATTTATATTATTTACACAAATAGTGTTAATTGTTTCCAGGGCAACTTTCATATTAGAAGGAGGTGAGGGGACAAGACTGAATATATGAAAATCTCTGGTAGATAAATTATTTCAAACTCTATAATATTGTAATATTTAGTTTATTGTCATTTTAATTTATAAATATTTTTAAATGAAACACTTATGAATACTATAGAACAATTTTTTAGTATTAATTTTCTTGGATTTTCGGCAAACCTTTTGTATCATAGCATATTTTCATAATGGTGTAGAAACGGTTGACTGTGATACAATATGAGAAGGAGTTGGTCGGAGGGTGCGGTCTAATAAATACTAAATTATTAAAATAGTATTTTAAATAAATACTAAGTTGTTAAAATACTATTTTAAATAAATACTAAATTGTTAAAATACTATTTTAAACTTTAAATAACTAAAAAAGTATACACTTTTTTATGAATGTTGTGATTCAAAGACATTTAAATTGCCTAAAAAATGAAAGAAGTTTCATCGAAATCAAAGCACTATTAGTAGAAATATCGCGATTTTAAAATATTTTTACTTTCACTCACGTATATATGTTATATATAGTAATGGTAAGTATTGCGATCGAGAAAATTTTTGAATCTGAGTTTTCAACGGAAATACACGTTTTGAGGTACCCTGAGTCGAAATGACCAAGTCCCGAAAAATGGTCTATGTGTCTGTGTGTTTGTATGTTAGCAGTCTAGCTCAAAAACGAAAATTTATACGAAACTGATATTACGTATTTAAGATAGGTATAAACCAATGACTTCCTGTCCTACAGTATCCTTTAACAATACCCCACTTATCTCTGTTGACCAAATCCGATACCTAGGACTCCACCTTGACAAACGACTCACTTGGAACCCCCATACCAGACTGAAACGACTAGAAACCGTCAGACGTTTCCGACTTCTCCAGCACTTACTAGACAAACGCTCTAAACTGCCAACTATTTACAAAAGACTCATATATATATTACTATAATAGGCCTATTTGGACTTACGGGATCGAGCTTTGGAGCTCTACTAAACCATCAAATTCCTCTCGTATCCAATCCCTACAATCCAAAATCCTACATAAAATCCTTAATGCTCCCTACTTTATCACAAATAAAATCATCCATAATGACCTTAATGTAGCATATGTTTCCGATTTAGCTCAATCCAGATACCTGTCCTTTCATAATAAACTTCTGGAACCATCCGAACCCTCTCGTTTCCAACCTTGCTTCCTCTTCTATTCCTGATAACCCTCCGAGGCGTCTGAAAAGAAGATGGTCTCGGGACCTTCTAATATAGAAATATAATTGGAGTGTTACCAATGGGTAGTTTCTCTTCATGTTGTACATGTCATATTACTTGTTCATATTTACTTGTTGTATTTATTATTAATTACAGTTGTAAATTTTGTTAATAAAAAAAAAAAAAAAAAAAAAAACGATAGGTATATGCCTCAGATGTGACAGCAACTTTTCTCTTAAAATCGGCTAACCGGAAGTGCCACTTTATATCAACGCTGAAACACAGTTTTCATTTAAAGTCTGCAATTCAACTCTTTTTTTTATACACACATATATATATATATATATATATATATATATATATATATATATATATATATACATATTTACTGATTCTTAGAGGTACGTTAAATTGTAGGTGCTTAAATGAGTCATATTAATACCTGTTTTATAAACTAAAATATATATTTAATCTGAACTATTGTTGGCCTGTGTCTTGACTACTATTTGATATCTGAAAAGTCTAATTTCCAAAAACTTTGTATGATTTTCTTTATTTTTTGTTGTGTCATTTTGGGTCCAACACTAATAGTACTTAAGCAATGTACTTCGGGTTCTACGCATTCGTTTAGCATTTTATTTATGATATTTTATTATTAATAAAATATGAACTAATTATTGACTGGTATAGTTCGGCTATCTTCCATAGTGAATCTCTATTATCCCTTATAGGTTTCGATTCAAAAGATATATATACATACGTTCTTTTGATTTGGAAGCTATAAGTGACAGTAGAGACAAAATAGTACCAAAACCTTGTTCATTCTGGAAGATACCTGAACTATATGAATTACATGTTAATATAAATCTAGTGTGTACTTATTAGTATATTATTATGCAATATTTTTCTTTTGATGATTGATTGAAGAGATTTAGATCTTTGTTGGCAAGAAGCGTTTTTTTAAAATGTATTTTCAAAATTATTTCATTTGAATAAAAAGCTTCAAATTCAAAATACTCACAGCTTGAATATTAGCCGACATGAGGATTAAATCAACACATACTCCTCCGAATTGTCCCAGCAATAGAAATATGTTAGTGGCGGCCCTGAAAAAAAAGTTTTTTTATTTTTAGGTGATCCATAACATACATAAAAATAACAATTACTTTATTTAATCAGTAATCCAGGGGCAGTTGCCCTGGGCGCCGATCTGAAGTGGCTTTTCTTTCAAGATGGCGGCTGAAAAACCTCTGTTGCTGTAGACTATAATGCCTAAATGAATGTACCGGTTTCAATGAAACTTGGATAAAGTCTTCTCCTTTATGCCCTTTAAATATAGAATATAGAACATACTTCACCGAAAAATACTTGTCTATAGTGTCGTATAGAATGTAGCGCCTGAATCCATCGGTTTGTGCAGTTTATGTGGCCCCAAACCACTGATTTTTTTCGTGTTTATAGGTGGAGCCATTATTAAGTTATCACACTGTTTGTAGTTTCCGAAATAAAATTGAAGGCCCCACCCTTGACGAAAATTTGAGACAAAAAAAAATTATTTTTCGATTATAGTGAAAATTGGTAATTGAGGGTTTATCGAGGTACGAAATACAAATCTGAACTTTGTTTTTCCTTAAAAAACTAATTTAACCCACTGTACTTCTACGGCCGCTAGAAATAGTTTTATTTCGGAGATAATGCTTATCTATTTCTATGACATCTTTTTTATTTTGTCGGCAAATCAGAAATCTTTCAAATAAATGTGGGTATTATCAGTCAAAAATTGTGTACTTTTTTAGTTATCGTCAAATGAAATATTGAATTCATCGTAACATTTTTCAGCTTGTTTTCGGGAAAGTATGTTATACACATAAATTAAAAGGGTTTCAAGGGGAAGACTTTAGCCAAGTTTCGTTAAAATCGGTAAAGCCGTTTTGGCGCTGCAGTTTATAGCGACACATCTTTTGCGGCTTTAAACAGAAAATATTTACATTTTTATTTTTTTTTACATATATAAAATTATCGTAAGACAGAAGTACTATGCCAGAAACCTTCCAAAATATAAATGGTAGTTTGTCAAAAACGGCTTATCTCAGAAAGTTCTTCACCGATTTCTTTTAAATTTTGACACAACGTCGCAATAATATTTAGAAGCTTTTGTTTTAATACGTGTCATTATCATCGGGCCATTCCTTTCGAAATGGCGGCCGAAAAAGATGATTCGCGCTTTAGACAATAGCGCCAATATGGCTTCAACGATTTCAATGAAACTTGGCTAAAGTCTTCCCCTTCAAACCTTTATAATGGTCTGAAAAGAAAATGGCCTCGAGATCTCCTTTTGTAAATACATTTTTAGAGTGCTACCAGTGGGTAGTTTCTCAACAAATGATTTCATGCTTTTATAGTCTTTTGTTCACATTTACTGAATGTATTTTTACTTGTAATACAGTTGTAAATATCATCAATAAATAAATAAAAAAAAAAAAAGTGAATTGAAATCGCTAATTTAAATTTATTTTTTACTTGTCCAATCATAACGTTAATTTATTGTGATATTAAGACACATAAATTAAATATTTTTGAATGTGTCTATTTTGTATTACTTATAAATAATTTTAAATGACTTAAGCTCGATTTTTAATTAAAATTGAAATTTTGTTTGTATTAATAAATGAGGGTTTTTGAATCGTGATTTACTCTTTATTTATTTAATTTATTTTTTATTTAATTACATATTTTCCTTGAATATTTAATGGCTATGGTCGAATTTCGACCACTGGGCGAACACTAGTATAAATAAATGTAGCGTCTATAATTTTTAGTTTCACTTTCCCTTTGTCTGAAAATACTTATTTCTGCTAAGAAGAGGGTTGTAAATGAAAGTTGTGTGATGCGCTCACCAGATTTTTTTTAAATATGTTTCATTTGTTCTACTGCAAAGATTATTTCTTTGGTTTTGGTTTTTAATGTCCTGTGTTTTTTCAATTCATCAATTAAAGTTTAAAGAAAATTATCAATGATGAAAAAAAAAAATATTTAGGGCCATAATAGGAATATTAATTTCGCTTTATGTTACATAGAAAGTAATGTTAAATTGTTTAGAAATAATAAGCCATTGTGTAATAAAATTTGCAGCGTTTTTTAAAAGTACTTTTAATGATTTATTGTTGTTTCAAGGTTGCCTTACATTTTTAAGAGAGAGAGACGATCAGCTGATAGTATTAAACTGATTAAGGAGCTTAAAGATTCTTAGACTATGGACAATTTATTATAGCAATGGCCGGTCTATAAAGCATTATACCTACAGGATGCAACGGCTGTACTTGCGAAGGGACTCCGGACCTTCGGCGAATGCTGCCTCTACTGTCCCTTGGTATGTTGGGGTCATGTCTTTGCGCCTCTTCTTTAACTCTCTTTGGCACGAAACCTGGAATTCAAATATCAGGTACAACAAACAATTTGA